AATATATAATTTATATACATATATATATATATATATATGTTGCAATATATTTATGTATATTTATTGTTTCCAAGGTTTTTTATTTTTTATATTAAACATTATAAACTTAATGTAGTAAACATTAATATTATAAACTGTTAAATATAGCAGTAAAAATTTGTGATATTAAGATACTGGATACCGACTATAAAGACCTGTAAATGACGTTTTAATATTTGATTTTGTGTCGTATTTACTGCATTAAATCCAAAATGCTTCTCCAAAAATAAATAATTTGTGCTAAGAAAGTGCGGTTGTTCTTTAGAACGTCAAAATTCAGCATACATTTTTTCTTATACACTTTTCTTTTATAATCTCAACATATATTCATGTATGTAGAATTATTTCTAAGCTTCTGTACATATTTACACTGAATTAGCGCACTAAGTACGAAAAAAAAGAACATAATGAGACACTCAGATTATGATTTGACTATCTAATTGATGAGAGAAATCAAAATATTGTAACAACAGAATAGATTATCATATGCTATCATTATGAATAAAAAAAAGAGTTCGAAAAAGCATTATATACTCATTTTTAAAAGCACTATGTAGTTTTTTATATTCATTTGCTTCTGTCTCAAAATTAGAAATTAGAGAAATTTAGGTTTCTAAAACGTTGATTTACAGGTCTCTATAGTCGGTATTCAGTACCCTCTTAAAAAGATCTCTCTCTCTCTCTCTTTTTCTCTCTTCGTCTTGTTACACTTGTGTGACGTAAATAAACAACGGATGCTGCGGCACGAGATTCCGCAAGAAGTTCTCTAACAAGTGTGCGCTTTCATATTTCAGCATACGGTGAGGTCGTTGCTACGCTGGAGAGGTTGCAGCTTCAGCTGCGGAATATTTCAGGTGCTCTTGGTATTTCGGGTGCAGGTGTCGAAGCCGAGCTCGAGGCAGTCCGAACGCTTTTGGTCCAAAATCGATTTGCTAGTGCTCTGGCGATGCGTCACATGTTAAAAAATCGACTGAGATCGAGCAAAATTCTGAAACATTACACCGATGACGCGTCGGGTCTGTTGCGAGATGTACGTACGCACAAATAATATCGTCATCGTTCGCTTAACGTGTCAAACACAAAGAAAGATATTTTTTTACGAATTAGAAACAATAATATTAAGTAAAACTTGATTTTTCCAGTGCCTGGACATTCTGGAAAAATTGCAATCGTCGTCAATCGCGACAGGCGTCGGGGGTGCGGAAACAATAGCCGCGGTGCAGGAGCTGACGGAGCTTTTGACAAGTATCGATATGACTTCTTTGCTTTTGGCGCACGACTCCATCGTCTCCATTGTGGATGGTTTACAAAAGAAACAGAGCCCGTCGTCCTCACCACCTAGCGGTCCACCTATTCCAACATCCAGTTGGAAAGATTCTTTAGAAGTCGACAATATTAAAATTATACGAATAGAGAGAACTAACGAACCTTTGGGCGCCACCATCAGAAATAACGATGAGAACGCCGTATTCATAGGTAATAATATATAATACGTTATTTATTTATTTATTTTTTTTAATTTATTTGTTGAAAAGATTGCAAGACTTGCCATCAATTATTTAAGGTCGCGTCGTGCGTGGCGGTGCGGCGGACAAGTCGGGACTTCTGCACGAAGGTGACGAGGTACTCGAGATAAACGGAGTAGAAATGCGCGGCAAAAACGTCAATGACGTCTGCGATATTCTTGCCGGTATGCAGGGTGATTTGACGTTCTTGATACTTCCGGCCCCGACAAATCACCGAAACAATTTGAGGAAAAAGGAGATAACACAGGTACGTCGTGTGTATGTGTAGTGGAAACGCGCTCTGATATATTTAGCACAGTTTTCTTGCGCTGGTAGCATCGGTATATATGTGTGTGTTAGTAGACATCAAAACTGGAACAACCAATATTGCGACATTTCTGATTGGGGAATGAAAGTGCAAATGTCAAGTGAAAAAACTTTTGTCCTTTACCTTCCACAAGAGACACGTAAATCGACATTGATCGTCTTACTTTTCTCTCAAGCGCATCCCTTTACCATTTAAATATCATCTCTCTTTCAACTTGTGGAGAAAATATTATTAAGAATATTCTGTCGCTTACGTATGTCTGTTCGATCCGTATTTATCAATTGAATATATATACGCGAACATGCAAGAGCAAATGTCACAACAATATATGAGGACGTATGTATTTTTTTTTTTTTAGAATTAAAGCAACAGGAACAAATCAACTAGGTCTAATTTCTCACTGAGCTAGGAGATATATAGATCGGGAGGAAGTAACATGACATTTGTGAATTGTAAAATTTTTTTATTGTTTATTCAGATTCATATACGAGCGCATTTCGATTACGATCCCGAGGAGGATCCGTACATACCGTGCAGAGAGTTAGGCGTGAGTTTCCAAAAGGGTGACGTGCTCCACGTGATTTCCCAGGAGGATCCGAACTGGTGGCAAGCGTTTCGAGAAGGCGAGGAAGATCAGATTCTGCCTGGTCTAATACCCAGCGTGGCGTTCCAACATCAGTGAGTTATGATTTCTAATCGAAAGAAATACCGACATCTTCGATATATTACGATTACAAAATTTATTCATTTCTCACATTTGTCTCGCAGACGAGAGGCCATGAAACAAACAATAGCCGGCGATAAACTGACGATGCGGGGTTCGAAAAAATCCAGCACATTATTGTGCGCGAAGAAAAATCCAAAAAAGAAGAAACGAAACAAGTTCGGCGGAACCTACAACGACGACGGTTACCCTCTTTACGCGACAACTGCCATAGACGGTAGGTGTGACTTTGTAAAAAAAAAAAATTTATTTACAAATTTTAGTCTCGTGTCCATGCTGATGATAATTCTCTAAAACTCGCAACGTTTTCCTCGCGATATAGATTACGATAGCGAAGAGGTGCTGACGTATGAGGAAGTCGCTTTATACTATCCTCGTGCGGATCACAAAAGGCCCATTGTACTCATCGGACCTCCTAACATCGGACGACACGAACTCAGGCAGAGATTGATGCAAGACAGCGAACGTTTTGCCGCAGCGATTCCTCGTGAGCGTCGTCACATTTTATTTCGTTAGATTACAAAAACATTGATAAATTGAGCTTTCAATTGAATTGAGCGTTTCGTTGTTCTCGACTTCCAGATACAAGTCGGCCGAAAAAGGACTCCGAGGTCGACGGTCAGGATTATCACTTCATTTCACGCGCTCAGTTCGAGTCCGACATTCTATGTCGGAAGTTCGTCGAGCACGGCGAATATGAGAAGGCGTATTACGGCACGTCCGTGGAGGCCATCAGAACAGTGGTTAATTCCGGAAAAATCTGTGTCTTAAATCTACATCCGCAGAGCCTCAAGATCTTGCGAAATTCGGATCTGAAGCCGTACGTTGTGTTTATCGCGCCGCCGAGTCTCGAGAAGTTGCGGCAGAAGAGGATCAAAAATAACGAGAGCTTCAAGGAGGAGGAGCTGAAGGACATAATCGAGAAGGCGCGCGAGATGGAGGACAAGTATGGACATCTGTTCGACATGCTTATCCTGAATAACGACACCGATCGCGCGTACAACCAGCTTCTCACGGAAATCAATTCGCTCGAGAGGGAACCTCAGTGGGTGCCCGGGTCTTGGATTCAGTAAATCGTTCGGTTTTTCACGAAGGGCGCGCTTAGGAACGGGAAGCGCTCGTTTGCACGTGTCTCGGTAGACGGCGATCGGAGTATCCAGTATCGCGATATCTGTTTTGTAAGATAAGTGCTTTTTTCCAAGCGACTATCTGAGCGATAGTATGACGATAATTCGATGGACTGGTTCTTCTACAGGTGCCTGTTACATAGTTTTATGTTTCTTACGCAAGCCTTAAAAATCTCCCCCTCCCCCTCGATTACTGCAATCGTACTACCCGCCTGACAGTCTTCCGCGTGTGTTATTCCGTACTTTGGTGCCATGAATCGACGACGAATCATCAGAAGCGCAAAAACTCGAACAAAAAAACAAAAAAACCAAAAAAAAANAAAAAAAAAAAAAAAACAAGAAGAAAAGAACGAATAAAAACGTATCTTGCGAGAAAAATTCTACGTTTTGCAACTTATGTATAATCCTCGTTATAGACTTTTGCGTTGTTTTTGATATAAGAACAAAAAAGAAAAAACAATTTGTATTTGCGTGCACGACGGCAAAACGTTCTCGGGATTTGGTTTCGTACGCAAACGTATTTCCTGAGTGACAAAAGTAAAATGATCAATTATCGAGTTCCGATCGACGATCATCGATCGAGCTTAAGTTCAAATTAAATACACTTAAAACGAAGTTGCCGCGAATTCATCAATTTCAGTGTATACTTTGGTCTTGAAATACAAAAAAAAACCCCCTAAATGAAAAAAGACGTTCAGACGGAGAGTTTTTTCGAAGTATATTTACGATTATATATTCTTCAGACTGACAAACGGTTAACTATTATTAGAAAAGCGCGAGTGTGTACAAAAAAAAAGTCTTTATCCTCGGTGCGTCAAAGCACATCTGCCAAGCGTCTTTGCTCTTTCTAAGTATTAGTCGTCCGTTCTGCGTGAGGAAACGTACCTGACCCGATGTCTCCTAAGAGTAAAAAGCATTTCTAATTCGAAATTTCTCGCGAGTGATGCCGTGCGACTTTCTGTGAATCATGATGCGTTTTGACAAATTTGTTTGTTTGAAGCTTTTTTGTGTTGGAAGCTTTTTTGCACTTCCAACGGAGAACTTACTTACATTAGATTAGAAAATACAACAAATTTGCAATTAAACATAATTTGAAGAATCTACATGAAAATTGAACGACTTGCGTTATTTGTTGCAAGCAATAAGTCTCAGACGAATTACGAACACTTGCGCGATTAGAGAGTCGCATTGTTTGTCGCTTCGCGTAGCTTTCGATTAGAAATTCTTGGCGATTTTGCTGTTCTAACCAAGACGGAAGCTGTTATTGTTGTAAGAAAAAATGAAATAAAAAATTTCCGAAGCGACGATCCCACACGAGCATAACGATACACATAAATAATTTTTCTTCGAACGCAGGAGGAGGAAAAACGTTTCGCTATCGTCCCGAAGACGGTGAAATTTGACGATGTGTGATTCCACCGTTCGTCCCTCCCGTCCCCTTAGAAGACGATTTCGTGTTTGTTTAGAGAGCAGAAATTCGTGTCTCCAGACCCGTAGAAATCCGTTAAACGCAATAGATTTGATAGGCTCGACTGTGGTTCGGTATAAAAAGCTTTTGGGAATTTTGCGTAAAACTGATTGATTTTTCCTGAGTGTTTTTTTACAGGGAGCGATTATGCTAAACGATAGAGTAAAACGTGTTTGTCTGTGTCGTTGTATCGCTACGAATAGGAATCAAAGATAAAAAAATGAAAAAAAAAATAAAAAAAAAACAAGTAATAATAGAAAAATCATCGGTGACTTTTCGTCGGAAATTGCGAGTTCGGTGAACGCATTGTAGCAAAAGTGTGCGCGCGCGCGACTTACATGTCTTGTGGAAATATTCTTGCGTTAACGATAATTGCGTATTATCGAAAGAAAAGTCTCTCTCTTTTTTGTTTCACGATAAATAATTCTAAGACTCCGGTAAACTCGGCAAAAACAAAAACAAAAAAAAAAAGATGTGTGTGTCGTCTAGAGACTGCGGGCTACTGTGTCGTGAATTAGATCAGCCGTAATGTTAGTCGATCTCCAGAAGAGAAAAAAAAAAGATAGATACACAGAATTCAATGTGAAACAGTTAAGTAAAAGCGGACGCGCAATTAGAATGACGTCTTCAGTGAAAAAAAAAAAAAAAAAAATCATTGTCTCCATTTTTAGCTATTTAAAGTTTCAGAAGAAGCCAATCAATGCATGACGGTTGAATATCGTGCCAAGTATCAAGACCGTGCATGTGCGAAGGGACACGCAAGAACTCTGAGATGTGCCAAATAAATTCTGGATTTGTTTTTCCAGAGAAATCCAGGAAGGGGTTTAAAACAAAAACAAAAAAAAAAAAAAACACAAAAACAAAAAAGTAAAGAGAAAAAATCGTATGCTCAACGGCACCTTAGAATTTGTCATTATACTGATTATGTAAATAATTGTGCACTTGTATAGAGAGAGAAACGAGAACGACGAAAGGAACATTTATGAGAGATAGATTATTCAGATTTATTATTATTTTTTTAATTATTATCTATTACTCGAATTATTATCATTATTATTATTATTACTACTAATCACGCATTGTCATCGTTACTGTGTATATTCCGTGCTCTTTTGTCGAGCGATCATGACAGACAGTTGTTAGCATAATATATACGATCCTCTCATGTAACAGAATGTGGTCGACAATGTATAAGGTATTTGTGTCAAAAAAAAAAAAAAAAAAAAAAGAAAAAAAAAAATCAGCGAATCAAATTTTTGACAGTTTCTCACCTGACAGATCTATACCGACGACTATATATATAATTCCGTCATATACGTTATGATCATTACACATATGATTCTGATTGTCGTCATGATTCTGTAAACGACAATGGTGAAAGTATGCTGTACATTATTATTCTTATAATTATTGTTATTATTATTATTATTATTCTTATTATTAATTATATTAATTTTATGTGTAAAATAAACGTACAATATATATTTCAAAGAGAAGAAAGACATATATATATATAAAAGATATATATATATATTGAAGGAGAAATATATATACAAATGTATATATATATATATATATCGTATATACACGCACATGTATTGCGAGAGTCAAGAGATTATGAAAGAAATCTCGAGAATTATATGTCCCAAAAAGATTCTGATTATAGAAAATAATATATTATTTCCGTTGTTATACAATTGTGTGTATTACCTAATTATGTTAATCTTTTTTGTTCGTTAAGAAAATATTTCATCATTGTTAATATGACGAAGTATATTCTCTCTCGTAATACTTTCTTATTACCATACCCGAAACGTTCCTGTCTTTTTCTTTTTTTTATTTTACGTTCATTATTCAACTTGTTAACAATCAAATTTTATTTATGACAAAAACAGTTCATTCGGTATTAAAATGTTTAGAGATCTTTAAAAGAAAAAAGTTAGCATCATTTTTTTAAATATTTTTAAACGAGTTTTTTTTTTTTAATAAGAATTTTTATTGCGGCACACATTGTGTGATGCATCATCATTTCATCGCACAACGACGAAACTTTGTGAGATATGTTGATTTAAAATTAAATACGTTTATATCAGCAACACGAACATCGTACGTAATATATCGCAATAAACGGCGCCTGTAGCCGGCAGCAATGTCGTCATCAGGCGCAGATGAATGTATATGGTTATCAAGTTACAGGAGCATCCATTTACGCAAGTACTCTATAAATGTATTTTATTATTTTAATCGTTTTCTATATACAAACTCTTATCACAATAAAAAATATCCAATAATATATTATACTAATTAATAATAAAACCAATTGTTTGATTAAAATCAATAACCGATCTTATGAGTTAATTAAATTGAAATAAATAGATGTTTTTTAATCTTTCTTCTTGCAAACAACGAGTTTCAAAATGTAGTTTCTTAAACAATCAAATTTTAATCAATCTTTCAATTTTCTGGACACCGTCGTCTGTGATTTCGCTTGGGTCAGGAGACGACACGTTGATTCGTCGCACCGCCGTCGTCGCTGCTATCGCTGGCTATCACCGGCGTCGCGACGCGTCGCGTCGCTCCGGGGGCGGTGGGTTGATGATGGTGTACTGCGCGCATGTTTCTTCTCCGGCCGAAACGGATCGATGCTGGAAATAGCTCGGCCGCAGGAGAGTACGAGGTGAGTCGCCTTCGCTTTCGGCAGGGCCTTCGCGCGTTCTCTCTCTCTCTCAACACCCGCCGTCGCTATCCGCTGCTCCGTTTTCTCCAGCAAAAAGCAAAGCTTCTTCCGCTCGCGCACATCTCGTCGTCTGCGACGTCTTTGTGTCTGTCTTAATCTTCCGCATCTTCGGCGCGGCTCGTCACCGCCGTCGCCGCAATCACCGTCATCATCGTCGACGTCGTCATCGTTTTCTGTCTCGTCAAGAGCGCGCCGGCTGCGAGTTTCGAGCCACCTCGAGCCGCCGCGACCAAGCCGGGATCGGAGTCGAGCGAGATGACGCGAAAAAAATGTGCATCACATCGACGTGGCTGATGGGGCTGAAATCGTGAGTATTACGTGTTAAACTTGTCCCATCATCGACGTGTGCCAAGGCCGCACCGTGCTCGCCGCCACCCCCGTCTACGTAGCTGTCGCCGCCGCCGCCGAAAGACGTAGGACGAGGGTGCACCACCCCCGATGGCAGGCGGCTATTTCGCACGCTCGCTCGAAATTGATCGCAGAGTCGCTGCTCCGGCGAGCGAGCACCACCGCCGGAATTTCGCGTAGCGTTCGCTTGGATACGGGAACGCTATTTCCGCGAATTTTTTCCGAGATTTTCCGCTCGCAACAGGCAATCCGCGTTCCCAGTCATCGATTGCGCTTCGGAATCTGACGTAATCTGGATTATGCGGATTATTCTTGGATATCGAAACACCGCGGGGGTTTAAATGCGGAAATAGTGCTCCACGTCCGCAAGCATCACGTTCGCAACTAAGACGCAGCATGTACTCGTCGATTCCGAAGGGAATGTAGTTTAGTTCAGATGTAGTTTATACACCGAACTCTTGTGTATCGTAGTTGCACGTCATTGGAGTAGTCTTGCCGCTAAATTTACAGTTCTTTACGCTCTTTCTGTGATTTTGTATCAATAAATAGATGATTTTTGGTAGAAAATAAAAAAAATTAAAAAAAATACTGAGTACGCGAGATCTAGCGTGTCTCTAATTTGATATTCCGCGCATGCCAGGGAGAAGCATCGCCACTAATTGTAAGTCGTGTGCTTGGGCATATGTTCCATTTCCAGATAGCTGTAAGCACATACGCCGCGTTTAATCCTTCTTTAACTCTTTTAATAGCAGCACCAAGCTTTTCACAAACGCTCTATCATCAGATCGCGATCTGATTTCTCACGTAGTCGCCTGAATATGTTCAATAAAGTTCTTTTTTTTTTTTTATCGGAAAGTATTGGAAAAGCGAGAGATTGTGTACAAAACGTTTATAAATATTTTCTTAGCTTTGTAATTTTGGAAATTTCTATTGAAAACGAACGAACGAACGAACGAACTTCAGAATAATTTTTGAGCGCGGCCCGAACGTGAGGTGACAAAGATATGACGCAGTAACTCATCCATCTTTTGTACGGCGATTCAGAGAGTTTCCACACGCGAGAAATGAATGATCGCGGGCACGGCAGTTTGCTCAGATTTTTTCGAACGTGGATAAAATTAGACACACAGCACACTCGTGTGCACGCTCCGCGTGCTCTAGTTCGAAGCGCTTGTTGCCCTTCGCGAATATGTGGCTGACACAGCAATGACTACCGGCGGGGGGGGGGACTTCTATCTAGTACGCGATAGAATATGTGTAATAAGTCTTGGGAGACCTGATCGATCTCGGCGCAGGAAAGGTCATCTTCGGCGGTTTTTGTTTCCTTAGCCCGTGGTCGATTGCATCGCAACGAGAACGCCTAGCTGGACATAGAGACGGGTAGTCCTCCGCTAGCTCTCTTTTTCATCATCATATTCATGTATTTTATTGATTTTTGTTTACGCATGTTTATTTATATATTTCTTTTCTTGTGTGCAATTTCTTGTATATATATTGTATATATATATATATATATATATATATATATATATATATATATATATACGAGCAAGTTTCTTATACAAGTTGAACAAATTGTTATTTTTTAATGCCGCAAAATTTCGCGATATCGAGAAAATATAAATTGAAATTATTTGAAAAATTCACAGATGAAAGAAAACAATTTTAAATTTAATATTTTGTTTTTTTTTAATTATTTAATTATGTACATACAAATAGACTTTTACAAACAAAAAGCAATAATAAGTGTGATTAATTATTACAAAGTATACAAAAAGTTGCGCATCTGTGTTCGCGTTACGGTTTTCTCTTGTATATCTACCTTAAACAGCGCTAAATCATTACTCTTATATTTGAATATACTCGGTATAATAGATGTAAGTTTCTCTTATTCAAGAGCTTTGTGACAGATTTCTGCGACAGAACGTGTGTAATTGACAGGTGAACACAACAGAAAGGGCGTCCGCGAGGAATATCATTTTAGCTACCATACAGACTGTCTTTATGTCGAGACGGTTATATGACGGATGCGATTGGTTATTGAATCGAAATCTTATCAACTATGACCCAATTAAGTTATAAGTAAAATAGACACTTTTATTGAATATCGTCCGATAACGTTTCCGTATTCAGTTAACTTTTTTATCTCATTTTTATTCATCAATTTAAAAAAATTGTTTTAATATTTTATTTAACGCATAATAATAACTTTAAAGTTGTAATTAACAAAGACATAAGTTCAAAGACATCAAATGTCTATACGGAGTGTTTTTTTTTTCATCCAAAAAGCAATAAAGAAATGCTTGCTTTTTGCTTACTTTGCTCCATTTTAAAACATGCATTTTGCAAGCTTTTACTGAAAAAAAAAAACTGAAAAAGGCTATGTGATGTGTCTTCTTATTATTGGATACTTACATTTTCTCTTTTGCTTTTAGTATAACTTGAATGTAACTTTCGCGAAAAAGAAATACATTCCTAATATTATTTTCATCTATTCTCTTCGGCTTTCAAATTTCAATATAATGCCAATGACGGACGCATACATTCGCAATCATCATATATACACTTACTGACAAAAAAATTAAGAAACAAAGTAGTTATTTGAGAACTTTTGTGCACAAATATTACTAAGTGGTTAAAAATTCTGTATGAACCGATGAAAGTAAATTCAATTTATTCCAGAAATGACTCCGGAAATAATTATCGGTGTCTTATTGGTCAGCAATTTAATGTCAAAAATGTTTTGTTTCTTAGTTTTTGTCAGTAAGTGTATACGTATCAAATAATTATTAACAATATAAATAAAGAGTTTTTTTACCGTAAAAATTGACAGAATTTGTGTATTCTGCCCTTATTTCTGCTTCATGTTTCACATATTGATTATATTTTTCATGGCACACACATACACGTATTCTTCTTGAACGTATATACACGTATCGATACGGCACGCTTGTGTTACATTGTAACAGAGCTGTTCAGCGACCCGTGACGAGAACGCAACTACTACAGAAGATTTGTGCATACATAAAAGAGAGTTGTACCACTACAGAATAATGTACAGCACGTGGGCTAAAAGATAGAACGTCACATTTTATTAAGTTTATATTCATCCATCTTTTTCAGCTCACAAGTAAAACTTCTTCTTTTTCTTTTTATCGAGAAACGCGTTTTACTTGTTTTTTTTTTAAGAATTTGCTGTAGAAAAATTGAAAACAAAAATACAATATTGATGTTATTGCCTTCTTTGTAACACGTTGACGATAACCGCTGCGCATCAGAGACGTAATATTAATTAAATTCTTTCGGGACACAAAGTTTAAATTGTGTCCGATTAACGTATGCAAATACGCACATGTGTCGCGCGTATCGTATTAGCTTCTTAGAAGAGAACCTATTCCGGTCGACATGACAAAATGATCTACGTGTATCATGATCTCAAATATTTGCGAAATAAACAAACAATATTTGTAAATTGTTTATTTTTGACTTTCGCATAGTATATAGACGAGTAAGATAAATATGTTTATTAAAATGTAAATTGTGTTCATTTTTTTATTTTCGCATAGTATATAGACGAGTAAGATAAATATGTTTTATGAATTATTATTCAGGAAAATGAAATTTTACATATTCATTTGAAATTTGCATTACATCAGCGCTGGATTTATCTCTGAGAGATACTTAATATAATAAAATTATGTGACATTAAGTAATTTGGTGAAAATATCTAAACGTAAATTTTGATCAAAATATAACGAATTACTCGGCGAATCTAACCTATCGATTTTCTATTTAAAGTCTTAGTCTGTCGCTTTGAACAGGTAATTTGCGAAAAACTTAGTCGTTGATTTGTGGAAAACACACTTTCGAGAGAAAATATTATTTGAAAATATCTTTTATTTTATTCATGCGATTGTTATTTCTGCTTATCGAACGCGACCAAAGCACGAGGAAGAAACACATTCTATTACCGCACCGTGATCGATCGGCCTCTTTTGGCAATGATCCCGCATCGCTATCCCAAGCCAGATTTCTATCCGATGATGTTAGCGATTTAAAACAATGTGTGATTTCCCGTTCAGTAACTCGGACATTTTACTTCGCAGGAGCCTCTCATGCACCACAGTAGGTCTTAGAGGATGCACAAGCTAGCCAAGGGCCTGAAGAAGAAGAAAAAGCCGAAGAAGGGCAAGAAGGGCGCGGAAGAGGAGGAGTTCGATCCAGAGGAGCTCGAGCGTTATCGGCGCGAGCGGGCGGAGGCCCAGCAGAAAGCCGAGGAGTCCGGCGAGTCGACCGGCGGATCCGACGAGTGGAAAAAGTTCCAGGCTTTGACTGCCGGCGTCGACTCGGTCTTGAAGAAGACCCAGGATGATCTCGATCGGATAAAGTCGACTTCGTTCTTCCAGCGAAAAGCGCCGTTGGAAGAGAAGAAATCGAAGGAAGAAGCAGAGCAAGAGGACGCCAAGAAGTCGTCGAAGAAGTGGGTAGGCTTCGACGAGGACGGCAATCCAATTGAAGCCGGACCGCCGGAAGTTGACGGTGGTAAAAAAGATAAATTCGCAGTCAACGAAGACGGATTCGTAGATGTACCGGAGGACGAGGATGAGCAAGAGGATTCCGCTGACGAAGACATCTTCGATACCACTTACGTCGACGTTCTTCAAAACATCGATGTTCAATTAGCTTACATACCGGAGAGTCCGACCGAAGAGGAAACCGGAGACGATCCCTTCGACACTACCAGTGCCGACAAGGTTCTCAAAACAGTCGACAAGAAGGGTAATAAGTTAGTCAGTCTAGGCAATGCTGTTGAGGTGTTATCGGGAAGGATCGATCATGTAAGCAGCTGCAAGATCACCAAGGGAAGACGACCTAGGCTTCAGCAAGATCTATTGTTAGACGATTTTGAAGAGACAGAGCTGCCGCCGACGGAAGCGGTCTCTGCAGAACCGATCAAGGTAGAGAAGACTTTGCTGGATGACGACAGCGATCTTCCCGATATTCCTGTTGACTTAACAAAATTACCACCTGTGTTACCAAGACCAGTTACTCCCGTCACTCCTGTATCTACTCAGGAAAATATAATATCGACAACTGCTGAGAAAACATCTAACGGTCCGCTAGATATCTCAGAGTTTGAAATTTTGAAAGAGAAAACCGTTTTGGAAGAGATTCCTGACTTGGACGACACCGAATTCGATCTAGACGCCGCGCCAGATGAATCAGTTCGTCTCGACGAGGTCGATGATCCGTTTGCAGCGAAAGAACCGGAAACAGTCGATTTTCAGACAGAGATAATCGAAGCTAGTTTCGAAGCAGCTACTTTTGTTGACGAGGCCGATCCGTTTGACACCACATTCGCGGATAACATCCTGCCGGGTAAAACAGAGCTGAAGTTTATCGAGAAAGAACTCGAGGAACTGCCTGTCTCGGAAGTGTCCATATCTCTGACCGATCCTGCAGGTCTTAATAGAGATTACGAGACTGGTTTATTGAAGGTAGATGAAAAACAGAACAATGCTGGTTTACCTAAAAAGGATCTGCTAGGCGGCTCGACGACCGATCTCACTCAGTTAGCGGACCAACCGATCGCACCTGTAGAAGAGATCACTTATGTCGATCCTTTCGATACATCCGCGGTGAAGGAGCTTCCACCTGGACAGACAGAACTCAAAGTTTTAGAGAAGGAATTGCTCGGCGAAAAACCTAGCGGTTATATTGAAGAAGACGATGAGTTTGATCCGAGAAAAGATGAGGTTACCGTAAAAGAATCAAAACCGTCACCTCCCAGACCACCTGTACCAGTTAAACCCGCGTTCGAAGTTAATTTTGAGGGAGATATAAAGGACGAAGCAATACCGACGAAGCTTGAGAGGAAGACTTCCCGTCCAGAAGTTCTTGAACTAGCCCCATCCAAGACTGTTGCGTTTGAGATACCGACGCCATCGAAAAGACTAGATCTTCTCGCGACTACAGAAGAAGAGAAGACTCTACCTTCCAAACCGTTGACACCGTATTACTCGCAGAAGTCGCTCGAGGACGTCTTGCCTGTCGAAGAGGAAGAGGTAGATGTCGATCCGTTTGACACCAGTTTTGTTAATAACGTCGCACCGGGAAAGACCGAGCTCAAGCTCATTGAGTCGGAATTGTTGAGACAGGAACCCAAGTTATCTCACAGTTTGAGCGATCACGACTTCGATCCGAGATCCGCCGCGGAGCCGATTAGAAGACAAAGTGACTTTACAGCCACTTCGGTCACGCCGGGTAACTTGAATCTTGCCCTGCAATCGTCGGTGATACAAAAAGTTGAAGAAGAAGTGATCACTAAGCAGGAACTCCACAAGCAAGAGAGCTTGCTGGATGCGGAGGTCGAAGTCGACGCTAAGCCTCTAACACCTAAAATCGAAAGCAAACCAATCGAAGAAGAAGAAATCTCTTATTCAGATCCTTTTGACACTTCCATTGCGACAAATATTCTTCCTGGCAAAGCGGAGCTGAAAATTTTGGAGAGCGAATTGCAGCAAATTCCCGTGCAACCGCCGCGTCCCATTAATCTACCCGCGGTAGTGTCAATCGTCCCGCCAACAGTCCCGCCAACAGTTCCGGACATCGACGATTTTGATCCCAGAGCGGGCGAGGTGAAGGAATCTAAGGATTTCTTGTCCTTGGACGGACAAGATCCGGGTGATAAAGTGTTGACGCCGCTTCAGAACAAAGATTTCAGTTTGAACGACGACGTGGATCCCTTTGATACGAGCTTTGCTACCATCGAGCCAGGACGAACAGAATTAAAACTTCTCGAATCAGAACTGATGAAATAATATTATCAACTGTTATATCTTCGTATCTTCAGAGTCTTTAGCCTGTTTGTTCGACTATATCTGGGTTTTAACTGTTCAACACAAGTGTTAATGTTGATCTTCTTCTGAAGTTTTACAAAAGACTATTCACTGTGAACTCTCTTACTACTTGTTACATACATCAGTATGTTAAAACCAGACTGAAAGTTCTTCGATCATGCTGACATTAATGGATGGTTTAAGATTGTTCTAAAAGAAATCTGAACATTGAACGCAATTCAAATTGGTTCATATATTCTACTGTAATAGAAATATTACATACTCCTGAAGTCTCTCCTAACATTTCGCGCAAGTTTTACCTAACCTAACTGTCTCGTGGTTACTTCCTAATTAAAGTTCTTAAGTCAACTCAATCATCATGGATTCTAAGGGCGGAAATCCATTCCTAATGGATGATTACGCGACGGAGCCGGAAGGCGATTTGCCTCCGCAAGTCTCCAATCCTTTTCTTCAGGATTTCACTGACACATCGATCTCTGGCGTGGGTGAGAATCCTTTCCTGAACTTCGCCAGCGATCAATCGTACGAACCTCCGGTGTCAGTCGAATCTACCAATCCGTTCGCCTCGTTCGGCATTGAAAGTACCGCTCCGAGCACCGATTTTGGAACGGCCGCTGATATTAATACGCCAGCAACCAACGTCTTCACTAGCCAATCAACCAACATCTTTGTCACATCTGATAATACGGATGTAGATTTATTTGGAACAATGACGACGACGTCGACGACAGAGCAACCAACAACGGTTGTCAGTCCGCCGCAAGAACAGGCGACGGATGCGATTGTTGCGACAGCTCCGACGAAGAACGGAAGACCGTCAAGACCACCACCGCCGAGACCGCAACCGCCACCGGTACCACCACCTGCCAAGAACACGAAGGATTTAATTCTGTCGGTCACCGGAGCCATGGACGCGACTTCAAATCACCTTTTGGATCGCTTGCAAGCGACCAGGACACCCAGCCCCACGCTGATGCATTCTCCGTCACCAACTCCCGAACACAGTTTTGCCGATCTTTTGGATGTCGACAGCAATGTTCCGGATCTGATTCCAGACGACAAGCCTGCAGAACTGCCGAAAAATCAGGACATCATGGATCTCTTCGACGCGCCCAACATGGACGACACTGCAACTTCCATCTTCTCCACTCCTATGACCACAACGAGCACCACCAATCTTGTCACCGGAGTCTCGATGGCTTCTACCGTCAAGCAAGACAATCCCTTCGCGAGCATGGAAGAAGAGACAGCATCTGTAGTTTCGCAGGAGCCTGCTTTTGAAATGGAATATTCAGAAGACGCTCTTAGTAAAGAAAACCTTTCGATAACTTCCACGACTCCTTTCAACGAAATAGAGACGGAAGTTGGAAAAACTGGTACTGTATTGGATCTTGCAGAACCTGCTCCTATGACTCAACCTGTGTCGACAACAGCCGCTGATCTCTTTCAAGGTTGCTTTAACACATTTTGTTTGTTTTTACAAGCTGCAATTGTTTATTTTTATAATTTCTATTTTTCTTTCGTTTACAGAAACAGAAGAAATTTCCACTAGCGCTGACGCAAACTTCTTCTCAATGGCCGATACAACTACAACGACGCCGTTTGGCGTTGTCGAAACTACATCCACACCTTTCGCAACCGCAGCGACCACTCAACCCCTATTCGCTACGCCAGAAGTCACGCAGCCTACTCAAGATGTCTTTGCCTCGGATCTGTTGGGTGACTTCGGAGAACCGGCAAAGGATGTTAGCAGTGGTCTTATTCCCACCAGTCCGATCTCAGCAACGGAATTTTCCGGAACCGAAGTTTATCGACCTGAAGAACAATTGGATAACTTTGCGTCCACGACAAGGGCGATCGAGGACACCGGCGATTCGTTCGACGCTTTCGCGTCCAAGTTCGACAAAGCCGCTGAACCGGAAACCACTACTAGAGATCCTTTCTTGGACGCATTTGGTGGACCGACCGCCATGGATACTTCCAGCGACGGTGAGTGTGGAACTAAATAGGATAAATTGTAAATTTCTGTTTGTGATCTATATTTAATGCGACAATGTTCTTCTTCTTTAGTCTGGGGAGACTCGTCAATAGCTGGTTCGGAAACAGCGGTCACCGGTTTCGGAGAATCTGACGGTTTCGATTCCTTTTTGAGTATGACAGCTCCACCAGATGCGACAGTGAAAAGATCCGAATCCGCGGAATCGGACGAGGGACCAGATTTCAGTGTATTTATCAAGTGAGTAAAATATAAAGATTTTTTTTTCTCTCTCTCATCAGAGATATAAAATTCTTGAAACATTTGATGATAGCGTTTTTATAGAATCTCATTAATCTCTTTTCTAGTTATTTAGTTTAATTACTACAACTCAAAACTGCGATATAAGATATTATTTATTTATTTGTTTTTATTTTATTATTCTTTATATTTGTTGTGTGTTAACAAAACTATCTTTTGACTTAATTTAAGACCGAAAGAAGGAGATCAGATGGGAACGGAAGGTGGGCCAGTACCTACATTAGCTCCGCCACCGAAAAGCCCGCAGGTGGCCGCTTATGCGGATTCCTCGCCGCGTTTCAATCCCTTCGATAAATCCGGAAATGCGCAAGATGCCGTGGTATCCGAAACGGTTCAGGCGGCTGAAATGGCAAGAACAGACTCTCAGGTAATCTCGTTGATAATAATATCAATTTGCTTACATATAAATTAAAGATACATATATATATATATATCATATGTATCTAATTGGAATTAAAATATGTTTATACCAGGAAACTCCCCCTACTCCTTTGTTCGACGAGGACGTCAGCCAGCCTCTCGAGGACTTTCCGAGATCGATCTATACTGGCGAAGGTTGGGAGATGCAGTTGCGACAGCCGAACAAAAAGAAAATAACAGGACAACGATTCTGGAAGAAGATATTCGTCAAGTTGATGTTTCAAGGCGATAATCCGATTCTGCAGCTGTTCAATAATAAAGACGAGAAAGATCCGTTTCAAGAATTGCCTCTGCTTCCTTGTTACTCGGTGTCCGACATCGGCGCCCAGCAATTCGATCAGTACGGCAAAATATTTACGGTGAAGCTGCAATATATATTCTACAAGGAGAGACCTGGCGTGCGACCGGGTCAGGTCACAAAAGCGGAAAGGATCACGAACAAGCTCAGTCAGTTCGCAGCTTATGCTATACAAGGGGATTATCAAGGTGTCAAAGAGTTTGGGAGTGATTTGAAAAAATTAGGTCTTCCTGTTGAACACGCGCCTCAGGTAAACTCTCAATTAATTGTTTTTTTAGTATCTCACACATAAATTATAATTGATTTGATTGAAGATATATTTTATAAAAAAAACGTCGGATAAATGTTTTTTTTTTTTATACCTGTATGTGCAGATCTCTCAGTTATTCAAACTCGGTTCCCAAAATTACGAAGACATGAAACAATTCTCGTGTGCCATAGAGGAAGCTCTCTTCAAATTGCCGGCACACCGGGACCGAGCGTTAAATTACAAAATGGAAGAGGTTCAGATAACGGTCGTGGATGAGCTCTATGTCGAGCAAAACGTGGAAGGTCACGTAGAGAAGCAGATCGCACGTGTTCGTCTTTTCTTCCTAGGATTCCTTTCTGGTAGATATCGCAGATATTGCGATTTTATGTTGCATTGCAATTGTTTTCATTTTTTTTTTTTTTTTCACACACAAAACATTATTCTATATTTTCACTCATTAAAGTTGTGGCCTTCTCTTGCACTCTCCATTCCGAACGCTTTTTCATTCGAATTTAGAAAGCAAACAACATTGAAAATTTCTTATAGGTATGCCTGACGTAGAATTAGGAATAAATGATATGTGGCGACAGGGTAAAGAAGTTGTTGGCAGACACGACATTATTCCGGTCGTAACGGAGGAATGGATTCGCTTGGAAAAAGTCGAATTTCATTCGTGCGTACAGGAGGACGAGTATGAAAAGTCGCGAATAATAAAGTACGTAAAAAAAAAAAAAAAAAAATGGAATTTTATTACGCACTTAATCTATGTATAATAATAAAAACGCGAAAATTTGTCGAGTGAATACTAACACGTTTTAACAATCTCGTCTTTGTTACGCAAGTAGTGCAATGTTCGATTATCTAATTAACATAAACATGTTGCGTTAGTTAATCATAATAAAAATCCCATAAAAAAATTTATATAATTAATCTCCAACTAACATACTCCAAGGTTTAAGCCGCCGGATGCATGTTACATTGAATTGATGCGATTCCGTGTAAGACCGCCTAAAAACAGAGAATTGCCGCTTCAGTTAAAAGCTGTCATGTGCGTTACCGGGAACAAGGTGGGTCTTTACTTTCATAATTGCAAACATATATATACATATATGTAACTATCGCATAATTTAAATAAGATAAGAGAACTGGCGATTTTACATAAGATTTTGTATTTACTATTGTATTTTTCCGACATTCAACGGATTCTTCATCAACATATTCTTTGTTCGCATTTGACCCATTTTCGCGTGTTGTTTAGGTGGAGTTGAGGGCGGATATTCTCGTGCCGGGTTTTGCATCGAGAAAACTGGGCCAAATACCGTGCGAGGACGTGATGGTTCGCTTCCCCATACCCGAGTGTTGGATTTACCTGTTCAGAGTGGAGAAGCATTTCAGATACGGTTCAGTGAAATCGGCGCACAGAAGAACCGGAAAAATTAAAGGTATCGAGAGATTTTTGGGCGCGGTCGATACGTTGGAACCGCAGCTGATGGAAGTCACGTCCGGCCAGGCGAAATACGAACATCAGCATCGCGCTATCGTGTGGAGAATGCCGAGATTACCAAAAGAGGGTCAAGGTATTTTATCTGTTGTTTAAATTATTCCAGTCAAATGACGTAAACTGTACGTAGAAAAATTAAACCCCCCCCCTGTATATTCATTCATATTCTTATTTTATAATTAATGTTAATATAACGTAGAGAGAGAAAAAAACTGCAATTTTCCATCATATTTTTGTAATTTTATTTTCATATATTTTGAGATATTAAAAAGCCCAACTTTCTTACGGAAGTTCCAATGGTTAGGTAATTTAATGAATGCGGAAGCGGGCTTTAATTCCTTTCTTCTAAAAGTGTGTAAACACCGCGCGAAAATGCGTCTTAAATATATCGGCCTGTTTAAATTATCGCACAGACTGCAGGTTTGCTGGCTCTGCTCCAATTTCGGTTATTCGCGCGGTTATTTCCAGGCGCGTACACAACACATCAGTTAGTCTGTCGTATGGCTCTCACTTCTTACGACCAGATCCCCGATAATCTCGCGGAATATTGTTACGTGGAGTTCACGATGCCGGCGACACAGGTGTCCCACACGACCGCGAGGAGCGTCAGTCTTCAGAACACCGACAGCGACGCACCTCCGGAGAAGTACGTTCGAAACTTATCGCGTCACGAATACAGGTACGCGTTTTTCAAGATCATATCAAGAGATATGAGATATTATAAACTACGTTATGTATATGTAATGGCACAAAAAAAACTGTTTCTTATTTAAAAATGTTTCTTAGAGTGGAGATCGAACATACGCAGGGAGAAGGACCGGGTGCTTACGTCTCGGCGACGTTGGCAAAGAAGATTCCGGAAAGCACGCCCGAAACTCACAGCGAAGTGTCCGACACGCCAGCCGACTCGGATTCCGATTCCTCGGAATAATGAGAATGATCGGTCAACGTCAATCGATCGCTCGTGTTGTAATTAGCATCAAGAGGCGAGAGAGACAAAGAGAAAGGGAGAAAAAAGCAGCTAGAAGGAGAACGCGTTACATAAATTGGTGTAGAGAGTAATTGCACGGCCGACTCTAGTCGTTTAAGAAAGAGGTGAACATAGGTACTATAACGTGTGTGTATGTTATTAATCTGTATACAGAGAGAGAGAGAGAGAGAGAAAAAATGCGCGCGAATCGGTCGTAAGAGCGCGTTTCAACATTTGTTTGTGTTTTTTTGTTGATCAGTTGTTAGTTAATGAACAATTTAAAAGCAAATCGAAGAACGCAAACGCTCTTTCACCTAGGTGAAATGTGTTGATAAATAATGTTTACATCACGCGGATGAAATAAATGTTCAAATTGCTTTTCAATTGTTAATCAACATCAAGCAGGTGATGAACAAAATCGAACCGTGTAAACGCGCCTTAAGATATGTTTCGTAAGTCGCCGATGGTTGGTTGTATTAAACGGCAGGTAATCGTCACTTTGAAACTCTCTGAACTTGTTACGAATACTGAATATAAAAAAAAAAAAAAAAAAAAAAAAATAGGAAAACGTTGAAAATTCAATTTCTAAGCACAACACTTCGACGATGGATAACACCGTTACCTCAGTTAAGTTGATTGACGGTAATATTCGCTAAAAAGGTAATTTGAAATTGAGCTACCAAATTATTGTTACTTATTTATTTTATTTCGCGAATTCGATTGCCGTTATTTTTACTTCCGATACTCGATCTCCGATCGGTGGAAATTCATTTTCCAATTGCAAGATAATTTTACGAGCGGGCGATTCGCGAAATATTTCTCTGTCCGCATTCGCGCGCAACATAGTCATTATTACGACAAGTAAGTAAAAAATAAAAAACAAAAAAAATAATTCGAAAAGGAAGGACAATACCCAATACCGTTTTTCTGTTCTGCTTAGCCCATTAAGATGTTAGAACACTCGTGATGAAAAGCTTTGTGCTCATGATACATATTCGTGGTGTGTTTTAAAAGACTCATTGATATGTATTCTTACAGACGACTGCAGCGTTGAAACTCTATTGTTGATGAGAACAAACGCGCATTGTGCACTTTCTTAAACAGTACAACAACAACAACAAAAATAAATTAGAAATAAATTTTTCAATTAGAAATTATATTTCAATCTTTTTAAGCGTCATGTCATAGATCTTCTGATTTGTAAATTAAATCAAGATTTGTATTATAGAAATTTGTATTATAGAAATTCAAAATATTTTATTTTTCGGAATATTTTGAAGTTTTGTTTGATTATATATATATATATATAAATATACATCTTTAAACGCACACATCTCAACACAATCACAGTCACGCAGCAGAAGTCTCATAAGACAACATTGTCAAATATTTGATGAGTTAGATAATAATAAACTTAAATATATCAATCGAGGAAAGAAGACACTCTGGCTATATCACGTCGTCGCTGTAATCAGAAGGCAATGATTTGTTAAATATCGTTATTTGTTTTATAGACGCGATGCAAGCATATCTCATTGTTTGAGCTTATAGATGATCTATGCATAATGTTGGCTAGTAGTAATCTGTGGCTGGCAACATAAAATAGATATCTAATTATTGATCAACAGTCATGTTTACTCATGCATTATCCATCTTTTAGAACAACGTGTAGATAACAATAATAATAATAAAATAACGTGAAGTACCGGTATTTCTATAATAAGAGTGTCTGTTGTGTGTATGTATGTATGACTCTGATGTGTGTGTGTGTGTGTCTGTGTAATGGATTTCAAAGACTGTATGAGAGTCTAATAAGAGTCTTTAGGAAGTGTTAACAGTACGGATCGTATCGGACAGTATCAGATAGATTGTAAATTGTAAAAGCGTTTCGGGGGGGGGGGGAGAGATTTCTGTTTCGTTATCGTTTTATTTTCATCCTTCTCTCTCAATCCACACGTTGACAATTCGCCCACTTTGCAGGCAAGCTAAGCTAAAAAAACCATGTACAATAAGTAGAATTAAGTAACTGATAGCAGTGCTAACACACACAGCTGTTATTGATAGAATAACAAGAAATGAGAATAATTAGGGATTGTACGCAAAAAAAAAAAAAAAAAAAACTAGAGAGAAATCTTTTGACAGGTTCTCTCTCTCAATCTGCACGACAGACCAAAAATAAAATGCATCACTCTCCGTGAAAATTGTAGTCTAGAAAATTTTTGTTTTATTATCGTTTTATTTTGATATTTTATCGATCGGCATGCTGACATTGCCGACATGCAGGCAAAAGCAGCATTCAAATAAAGCTTAATAAACCAAAGAATAGATAAGAAAAAAAACATAGGATTAAGTCCTGTAATGGCTGTACGTCAACAGCTAATGATGGGACACCAAAACTTAAAAATAATTAGACTTTAACAGAGAGAGAAATATCTGAAGAGATATTTCTGTGTAATAGTGTATATATAATAATATATAATAATACATATAATTTATAATAATTTGATTAAATTTAAGATATCTTATACATACAAATCGGGCTGAAGAAAAAAAACGCAAGTTTTATTTATGATAAGTTTTTTGTTTCCGCGTTCTTATCCTACAGAGGCAAAAGATAAAAATTGTAGTTTAGAAGATTTCTGTTTTGTTATTGTTTTACTTTTTATATTGTGTGCGATCGGCGTGCTTTGTCAATATATATCAAAGACACGAAACGCCGCAGTCAAGACTAAATCGAAAGATCGATCGAAAGATAGATTTGAATATCTACTAATGGCTGTATCGATGGCTGGTATCAACAGCTATCGAGATAGGATAGCAAAAATTAGGAACAGTTAGACTTCGTATATAAAAAAGATTAGAGAGAAATCTCACGCGAAGAGGTCATCCCCTGTAATCATGTACTAAATACGTATGATCTCTAAAATAATTACAAAAAGTAACTTTATACGTAAGGTATCTATATAAAACAATTAGAGAAAAACGTAAGTTTCAGTTATGTTTGTAATTTTTTGTTTTCACGTTCTCAACCTGCACGACAGGACAAAAGAGTTGATTCTAGTCCATAATAGTTAAGAAAGTCGTACGATACGGACGGACATGTTCCGACGATCGCACGCTAGGCGGATAAGGTTTAGACTAAGGAAATTTGAAAATTGTATTTTGTTAAATGTAACTTGTAATAATATCGCAGAAACAGTTCGGCGTAAGAGATCGAGCACATCTGTTAGTTGTTGATTGCCATTCTGATCACCGACGACGTGTAGTTAGATAGTTCTCTTGAATGTGGTCTCTTATAATTACATATGTTTTGCGAAAAACTGACGCGACAAAAAACGCTAAATTATATTTTAAGAGACAAAGGAAATAGTATATTTTATAAGAAATATACATATATATATATATAAGAGAGCCAAATAAAATCGATACAACATCGTCTAAAAACAAAACTATTATTTTATCTCTTATACTAAAACTGTTATCAAATTAAATATCAATCATTATATTAATAATTATTAAATATAAGTTGTTGTGTACTAATTTTTACATTTTTCAAATCTATGTAAATTCATTATGTGTCAACAGATTGTTTTGAAAAAAAGATACATCTTCGTTTTTACAGCAATTAAAAACATTTGATGTATTTTATTGCCGATTATTTTAAAGAAATGTGCGCAAAGCGAAATTCACGAAAATCTAAATCGAATTTAATGCTCCTTCGCTCGTTTAAAACAAAGCACAAAGCTTTTCGAGCTATATAGTGTCAAAGTTTATTTTGAGTTTGATATAAATCTTGAACGGACTTTGGGCAAGATTTTTCTCGCAAAAAAGCTTGCACCAAGACGTGACGTTTCCAGCTCGTGATCTCAAAATATGCGTAAATCGTACCCGTCGTGCGATCCAGAACGGCGTTCGTGTATCTAACAATAAGCAAAAAAAAAAAAAAAAACTGCATAAATACAGTTAAACGTTGCATGTATAAATTTTAGGAAAGGATAAATAAGCTTAGAATAAGCGTCGCATGTTTGCAAGTAATTTTGAAAAAAAGAGAATGTGTGAGTAAAGAAGAGGGAAAATTATGTGCGAGACTTATGAAAAAAAAAAAAAAAAAACAATGAGGAGAGTTCGATTATACAATGTAAAGAGGAAGAGAGGAAGAAAAGTCGATACTTTACACATGTTACTGTGGTTCTATATCCATGTTTGTCTCTTTAAAAATAGCTTTTCTATCTCGAAAGAAAGGAAAGACTTAAAAGAACACACACACACAAACACAGCAGTTCAGGAGAATGTCATGAAAAAAACAAAGTGTCGAAAAAAACAATCTCTCTATTCTACACTTTACGAAATACGATGCATTATATAATATAACTCGTTACTTTTATTTATATATATATATATAACTGTATTTTAATACAATCACGTAATTTGTTAAATCCTAAAAGGCTCATCATAGCGCTAACGAATACATATAATTCGAATTAGTTTTGTGAAATGTGATGGTATTCTCTACTTCTGTAAAAAAAAAACAAAAAAAAAAAGAGAGAAGCGTAGCTTGATGTTAACTATATGTAATATTGAAAATAGACACATTTTTTTTGTCTGACGAGATTAGCATCACGATCCCCCCATTTCAATATACATATATATACATATAACGTGTCGTGTGCGTATTCGATCGACATCCTCGAAAAAAAAGCATTATTTATCTCCATATGCATTGTAGAAAAAAAAAAAAATTGTAGACGATATATGTATAAACCCTGTTGACTCAACTTGGCACACACACACACACACACACAAAAAAGAGATACAATTGTAAAGAAAATAACAAGCCGTAGATTAACAAACATAGCCGTTGTCCCTATACCATTAATTGAAGAAAATAAAAAAAATGTTCTGTACAGGTGAAGAAAGTCTGTAAAGATAAAAAGTCTAGTCATGCTTTTTGTGAGAAACGATATATAATACTTAGCAAAATAAGGAGAAACGAAAAGCGGAACACGTATAGGTATTCGCGCGTGAGAAGAGGAAGAGGTGCGTGACATGGATGAAAGAGATCAATCGTGTGTGTTCCTTTGATTGTAATATCGCTTCTTTTTTGTAGGCTCTCAAGCGCGCGCGAATCGCCCTTAAATGAAATCATCGCGAGGACAACAGCTTCGTTCCAGCTTGCGCTTTTGACTGTGCGAATGTATGTGCAATAAAAGCAACTAGAAAAGAGCTTTGTACTAATTTTGCAAAAAAACAATATATATATATATATATACACACGCTGCTAGCTGCGCCGTTCTCGTCTAATCGTATTCAATCCGCTGTGCGATTTTCTAGGCAATAACTAAACACACGTCGAGAGTCTTGCCGAGTCAATTTTTTGCGGACGCGTTTGTGTCTGTTTTATTGAAGACCAAGTTGTCACAAGAAAACTTTGCCAAAGATAATTGAATTTCATGAAAATGTGTTCAGAGTGCGCATAGGTCCTTGAACTGTCAAGATCTATCAGGATCGAAACGTTTAAAATTAAAAACACGCATTATTGATTAAAAAAAAAAAAAAAAAAAAGAAAAAAAATTACTGATGCAATCTCACGTTGCTTGTGACAATTGAACGTTATAGCGGATGATAACATTTAAGGGTTAATCGACAAGTAGTTAATAGTTTATTCAACACGCCAACACACAGCGCTGAGATGAATGTGTTCCATCGTGACAAATAGTCCTGTATTTACAAACATGATCGAATAAATAACTTAACATTACATATCGTAACTCAAAGCTTTTTATAGAGCAGCACACACACACACACACACGCGAGAGTTTCTGCGAATCCGTAATTGTGCGATGTCGTACATCGTCATACGTACCAATATTGACCAATTTTATTAACGAGACATATTTTTTTTTTTTTTTATACGCGAACGATGTCTCTGTCCGCGAAATATGAAAGTAAAAATCCAATATATATATATATATATATTACACAAGTTTAATTTAAGTACATTCTATTTAAAGCCAGAAACTTTCTTGTGTGCTTTCAACTGAAAGAGATAGATCAGAGAAATATCCTATTTAAAAAGTATCTTACAAATAATAATAATAATCAAATACGCGCAAGAGAATACGTTGTTGTTCAAAAAATTTCTTCGGATAGAAGTTAACAAAAAACTCTCTAAATTACAAAAGAAAATACGACAAGTTACTGAGAATTTCGATTTTCTATCAAGAAAAATCTAAACACACAAAAAAAATCTGAACAAAACTCATTAAATTAAACTTTCACTCTCTCGTTGTCAGAGCACAAATGCAAGAGTGGATGCAACGTAACTTACAACAGGATATTTTGTATGTATGTCTATATACTATACGCTAAAAAAAAATACGCTAAAACGAAGTGCACAGGAAATAGGAGAGCAAAATACAACAGGTTTGAGCTGGATAAAAACTCTCTCAAAACAAATTTTGTTTTTGAAGAACAGCGATCACGATAGTTCACGTAAATCTCGCGTTTTGAGGTGGCGAGCGTATATACGCAATACTTGCTGAAATGTTGACGTTGAAGCACGAACCCATAGATTAAGTAATGATATGTGGCTACGGGATATTTATGGCGATATTACCCGTAATTCGTGCGATTATTTCTTATCCGAGGACTGACAGTGTTCTATTGTTCACGAAAAATCAAATGAGTGATAGAACTACTACAGCCTTCAGGTAAAGTGTGTGTACATTTTTCCTATACGAGTCCGCAAATTAACGAAAATTAATCACAGGCGGATTGTGTATAATGTGTAGAGAGTGACGTAGAGAAAGATTTTTTGTTTTCGTTCCGGTTTCTTGATTTGTTTCAAACACCGCACCGGATATTCTTCGAGTATATCTTCGTGCGTGAATAATAATAACAACAACAATAATTGCTCTTGCGAATATAAACGAAGAAAATCTAGAGTATAAAATCTCTGATATCTCATTAGCTTGTGAATACATGCGAATATGTGCGCCGCGTACATACAACTGCGTTAAAGTTAATGTTACTTTAGACGCGTAACAACTGTCACTTTAATCAGTAATGTAATGTGGTGTGACGTACACAAACGGTAGAAGCGTATCTTTTCTTTGGCACGTATATAATAATTTGTAAGTATGAAAGGGAGAACGAAAGAGAGAGTGACAGAGAGAGAGAGAGAAAAAAAATAGAGAGAGAGAGAGAGAGAGAGAGAGAGAGAGAAAGAGAGAGAGAGAAAAAAGCGTAACAGACCACTTTTAAAGGCAGAGACGAAATAAGTGTAATACTGTTAGCTAATGATACCAACGATAAATTCTATGTATCGATAAATAATATAACATTGTTTAAGGGATGATAATATATCAAGCACGTCTGAAGTTGTATTTTTCCCATTATAACGATTGTATATCACCAAGAAGAAGTGAAATATCTTAAAGCATTTCCATGCCAACACTGATTGTTCGCTTTCTTCGCAATCATCACGTAAACATCAACGTTTGTTGTTCGCGGAAACGTCTAAATTTTTTGTGTAACCTTTTCATATACTCTCCGTTTTTTTTTTTTTTTTTTATTATTTTCTACATTTAAATTACATAATATATACGCGACCGCAAACACAGTTTCACGCTCGATCATGCAACCTCGCGCAACGTTCCTCTAATCTCATTGCATTTTCCGTAAGTACATATACAATAAGATAAGAACGTGAAACGTTAAATATACATAACCATATATACGCGACACGACGTGTGTCTTATGTAACCTCTCATTTCCTTGTGACCGCTCCTTTAGTTGATACATTTTTTTCTTTGCGCACAACGCGCGCAACGTGTACGCAAGGAAATTTGATTTCGCATTTTGCGGTTTATCTCGCATGTTTCTTTCCCTTTTAAACATGACAATTGTTGTCATACACGCGCGCGCGCGTGTGCGTGTGTTTGGGCGTATTCAAGATTTTGTTGTAACGTTTCAATGAATTGCGACAAATAGCTGGAATCTCGTCACATCTGTATTTTTTTTATTGTGCGCATCATGTATCTAATAATTGCGCTCACGAATTATTCAACTATTATCCGAAGTAAAAGTTAAATATTATTAAACGACGATTTCGAAGTAATTTTTAACACAATTAATCATAAAAATAGTTTAGCGCGCGTTATTTCATTTATTTCGAGATCATGTCTTCACTGTTGAAAGTGAAGTTCAGGCTTTTCATTTATTTGACTTTCACATTTGCTGCGTGAAAAAATGAGATAATTCTTTTTTTATGTTCTTCTTAAAATTAGATACTTCTTTCTTCAAAAGCTCTTTTTTATTATGACACACGGATAATTTAAAGTTTGTCAAATTCACTAAAAAAAAAAAAAATACCGGAAAATTTCGGCGTTAATTAAAAGTGATTGCGTTCTCTTGTGTATTACATGTGCGGCGCATTATCGGTAGAGGCGCTGCTGATAAAGACCCCGTTCCCCAGGCGGTGCGTTTGTACCACATGACCATCGTCATCGCGCACGGGTATCGCGCGCGCACGCGCGATGTGGTCGATAACGTTACACCGCCGCGATACCGCCGCCTTCACCACCGTCGTCACCACCTCCACCGTCGGCCGCTCAGCTGTTTCTGTTTACTAAACAAAGGAACCAGTTCAACGCTGGATGGCGAACGGCACGTCTGCCGCGCACGACACCACTCCGCACGAGACATCGACGACGACGACGCACGTCGGAGTTCGCGCGACGCCGTGAATTCGCGACGCGAAAAAACCACACGCGCGGTAAAAGATTTATCTCCGCTCGCGCCTAGGACGCTCGTCCGAGGAACGAATGCGAAGGAGATAACCCACTGTGCGGTGCGACGACTCCGACGACACCGCGGTTGAACGCGCGCGGAGCGGCCGTGCGAAAGGTGGACCCCGAAAGAGTTGACGCGCAAACATAGTGAGTAAAAATTTTAAAAAGCGCAACACTTTTGGGAGACTTGGGAAATTCCCGCTGTCTTCCCGTTCGTCTTCTTCTGGGTAAGTTCTCGACACGATTTTCGACGCGCGTCGAAACATCCCTTAAGGGATGTACCTGTATATATATATATATACATATTATTGTCGTCTCTTTGTCGACGCGCAACGGAGGCTTCCGCGCTCTGCGCCATACGGAAGTCGTGCGCGACGATTGCGCTCGACCGCGAGTCCCGTCACGCTTCTGCGACACGCACGCAACGCGACGATTACGTTCGCGTTTTACGCCGCATTTAGATATCGTCGCGTAATGTAAACGACAACCTCGCAGCTCAACGAGAAACAGAGAGAGAGCGCGTCTCTCTCTCTTTCTGGGTTTTTCTGCCACGAACCTTTTGTCTGGAAAGGTTGGGCGATATGGATCCGACTCTGTTGACACCAATCGACGCATGTGTAATGCATTACAAGGCTTTTCATGCAAAACTCTCCGTGAGAGGCTTTTTTCGACGCGCTTTTAGCGCGTTGTCTGTGAGAACGGACGGCGACAACTTAGCGCAGATTGAACGCCCGCGGTTTTTTTTGTAGGAAGCGATCGCGTCTTGTTGATTGTACATCCGCCGAGCGGTATCAACAGTTAGATCTAATTGCGAGATGCCTATGGCGGGAAACGAGTAAAGTTTTACATTGTGCTCTACAGAGCGATTCAATTAACATCGGCGCCGCTCGCGCTTTTGTCGCGATAACTGACGGATAAAACAATAGCGATGGAAAGAAAAAGTAACGACAATTGTTCAAATCCATCAATTATTGCATCGACATGTGCTGTTCGTACAGTTGCGATTGATAGGTAAATATGTGAATAAAAGCTTCAAAGAGACCCAAGCTGTGACTTGAAGAGAGAGAAATTTATTATTATTATTATTTTTTTTTTATATAACGAGAACAATTACACGGTCTCTCGTTAACTCGTACATAACTCGTCAATCTTTATTCACGCCATTGCACTTAGCAACTTACGCAACTTGAACGAACGAACGCGCTTACGTTGGCAAAAGCGTCTCTAAACGTCCCGATAGTCGATTGCATAAGTCCGGATTTCAACGTGTCAGCGCTGTCCTTCTGCGCGAACGATTGTCTAACAAATCTTACGACTGCAATTCGCCGCGAGAGAGAATACAAGAAATACATGTGTGTTTACACCGCATCACAACCTTGGTGGCTTGACAAAATTACGAAGTCGAGATAGAACATCAATTTCCTGTGCATATAATTACGAATTTCGACAGTTTCTATTCTGATGCAATTTGTCGAGAGAATCGACTTGTGTATAAACAAAAATCCATATATAGTATGTAAAACAGAATTATTGAAGTTAGTCTGGCCAAATTATATTACACAGAGAAATGTTAAAAATAATAAACTTTTTTTGCGTTATTTAAAATAATTTCTCTTCTGAAATATTACCCCCTCGTTTATATTGTTTCTACTTTAAAAAAAAAAAAAAAAAAAAAAAAAAAAAAAAAAAAAAAAAGTGAAAGCTATGCACAAAAGAGACTCGACTCGTTTTGAGCCATCTCTCAAAGAACACATTTGCATGCAACAAATATTTACTACTTTGAGATTCGATAGTGTACTCAAATTATTTTGACATTTACGACGCAATCGACAACGCGTCATTTCGAAACGCGTAGTTGTCTTAAAGCCCGCTTGAGATCTAATCAGTTTCACGACCCACTGACAACACTCCTTTCATTCGCGATAATTTAATGCTTTTGTGCAACGGAGTCTTCGCGACGCATTAAAGAATTTTTTTTTGCATTATAAATTCATTCATTATAGAGATACGTGTTATGCAAATGAGAGAAGTATAAACACGCGGATGTTGAAGAATAATGTTTCGATATAGACGGTGTTTTATGAGTTTACGAATATTTTTCAGGCAGATTTTATCGATAAAAAAAACAAACAAAACAAAACGCGTCTGCGTCGTGATAAATCGCGTGATGAATAAATCATCAGGACTCGAAGAGCTTCCTTGTACATATTTCACAGCGTGTAATCTCCCATTTGTATACGTGCATAAATACGCGTATAAAAACATAAAAGTTTAGAAATTACAAAAAAAATTAGAAGAATAAATTTAAAAAAATATCTTATTGATAAAACGATATTAATGTGAATTACTTTGTTATTATTTTATCAAGTAGTTTTCTTAACTTCTTTGACTAAGTATAAACTTTAACGTGTCAATCGAGTCAACAAATGTTTATTTTTCATCAGTAATAGAGTCGAGTTTCCGAACAAATTGCAGATTACACACGCAACTAAGATAATTTATTTTGTTAATACACATCACAGAGAAATGTGTACACGCACCGATACAAATTTTCCGTTCACCATGGCGTGACTTTGTAAGATTTTCTACCGGATGAATATACGAAACTTCCTTTTCGCGGTAAAGAAAGTGGATTCCGCGTTGCTCCGGCTCCTTCGAGCATTTCTGCAGAAAAGCATCTGTTTGTAAAGTCGCGATGTAGACTGTAACGGGAGTGAAAAATTGAATTTGAGAAAAAATAAGTTAAACCAAAGAGAAAAGATAAATCTGCGAGAGCGGAAGATAGATAACTGCGAATTTGTCAAATACATCGTATCGAGAATTATAATCGAAAAACAAAAAAAAAAAAAAAAAAACCAGAGCAACATACTTCATCAAATATTTCTGACAATAAAATACTAATTATTTTTATTGCATCTCTTATATCGCGAATTTTATGATGTTTCAATATCGTTTTCCTTTTCAATAATTCTCAATAGATAACGACGCTTTCATCGTGTATTCGTTTGTTGAATTCTGCGCGTTTGTAACCGATATATTTGACATTTCTCGATGCATTGTCACGTGTATCGCTCGGATAAAGCCACCACTGATCTGTAACACACAGCAGTAGGCCATTAAAACGCACAGCTAGCTTGTGTGTTTGAAAGAAGGGAGAGAGGTATCTCAGAATGCGTTCTAGTGAACGGTCCATCCGGTACACACTAGGTGTTCCAGAACTATTAACGCACACGGACTTTTATTGTCTCGTAAGAAGAAAATAAAAACATTCGAAAGAAAGAATAAAACAAACTTGATTAAACAAGAGGAAAAGAAGTATAACGTAATAATAATTGGTAATAAATTTAAGAATGTTATCTGAATTATAAATTTATATATTTAACATGTGAGAATAGGTAAAACAAGTAAATATTAAAGTCGATACGTTTAGTCGAGCCAATATGTTTAATCATATGTATGTATATTTATTTAAACAATATATATGTATATAATTGAACATATTGACTTGTGCAATTTTATGTATACATATAATTATATAATTTATTTTTTTTCTATTAAACATGTAAATTAATACATGTGAGAATTCGAATTAAATTTAATATTAATATGATTATACACATTAACATTAATTTCGAATGTCCACGTGTATTAATTTACAAGTTTAAGAAAAAAATAAATATATGTATGTAATTGCACGCGTACATCCTGTTCGTACCGCCTTTAATACTTGGTTGCAATGTGCAATTTTCACGAGCCTTTAAATCGTTGAGATAAAACAAGATCTTGATTTTTTTCAGGCAATTTCGCGCGGACTGTATATCGTAATCTCGGCTCTACAATAGCGAAAGTGGTTTAATACTACGTGAATCCGTGCTAACTGCGCGTGCATTAATTGTCAAAGTTTCATTGAAAAAAAAAAAAAAAAAAAATGGAACTTAGATTTATCAGACAATTTATCATCATTTTATAGCTGAAAAACTGCTTTTTTGTTAACACTCTGTAAGGTATATTTCTCTTCTGTTGTCAATGCCCGCCGCTTTCTCACACACATCGGTTTAATTGTCGCGCACTGATGCGAGACGCGTTTTTTTAAGAATCAAAACGAACAAAGAGAGAACGTCGACGTTTTTCTGTCTGACGTTTCTATCAGCTGCGTTTGCACAACGATGAGATAAGCAAAATTGCTTATCATCGTTGCCTCAACGTATATTATTGATAATATACAGAACATTTGTAACGCAAAATCTCGCAAAAATAAATCACTTCTAAACAAAAAAAAAAAAAAAACAGTTGCATAAGCAAATGTTTCCAAGCTGCGGTTGCAAATTGCGTATTTAATAAAATAAACTCGAACAATTATGTGAGTCACACGAATAGTGTCGCTCCGTTCTCGCTCCGCGTCGATCAAATAAAAAAAAAAAAAAAAAAAAAATGCAACAACTCGCTCCTCCGTGTGCGAGGTCTGTGCAACAAAGGTGTGCAGACCACGCGGCGCGCGCAAAGGCGCGGGGAGAAATAATATGTATATAGATATACCGACACGTGCATTCACAATGCGCGCTTCTCGGGTCGCGCGAACGGAGAGCGCGCGGTAACCTTGAGCAAGTGAGTAATATTCCGCATCTCTCGGCGTCATTTGCGCAGCAGAGGAGGAGCCAGCGAACTTTCGTACATACAACGCGCCGTTTCTTCATCAGGTTTTGCACGTGAGGCGGAAAAGTGGCGTCTCGCTTCGATGCGCGTTCGGCGCTTTTATTTCCCGTTTCGCGGCCGGTGAAAGGACATTAGGCCGCGCCGGGCGTAAAGCTCCGATCTTGCCTAATCCCGATGTTGTTTCTCATTTCGGTCCCGTCCCGCAAAACGGTCCCGATATCTTGGGAGATGAGAGAGAAGAGAGAAAGAAAGAAAGCGCGACAACGTTTAATCACGGGGCTCTGCAGCTGTGACGAGCATTGTCGTTTCCTCTTGCTCTCTCTTTTTTCTTCGTTTTTTTTTTTTTTTTTGTAGCTTATCTTTTTCTGCGAATGTCTCACAAATTGCTGATTGAGTTTATTTTACTGCGACGTTTGCAGTTTACACAACACGCCACTGCTACTTTGTATTTTCTTATGCGACTACAGTCGGCGCACAAATAGACGATTTGCGACGACGTGAAACGAATATAAAATCTTACTACACGCGAAAATCTTTTATGTTCAACCTCGATTCCGTTTTTAAATTTTGTTTTCAAGTTTGAAGGTTTATTGCTTGAATTCTCGTCGTTAAACGCGAACTTGAATTTATTATCATGCTGCATATTATTCGCGCTTTTACGGTGTCGACCCTGAGATTTCCCGAAAGACTATGAAAGCGCGAAAGAAGTATCGAAGGATAAATCGGTTTAAAGATAGATGGACTAGCGAAATTCGAATTAAGAATGTCCAAACAAAAGACACGCAAGTTGAAATCCTGCGTGTCATAACAATAAAAAATAGGAAACGAATTTATATGAAGTATAAGCAACTTATGAAATATGGTTTAAATTTAAAATAAAAAATAAATGAGACCGGCGTGATTTAAAGAAACTTCAGGCTCTGAATTCTAATAAGAAAATACGAAATAAAGTCTTAAGAGCCGCTTTTGCAGGATGTTGTGCAGAAATATGTAGTATAAAAAATAAATGGTTATGAAATATGGTTTAAATTTAAAATAACTAAGGCAAATTTATGTATATATTACAAAAAAGTATATTTGTTTTATTGTATAGAGTTTGTCTTTTTTTTTACAAAACCTCAATTTTATTAATTCGCGCAATAATTTATAAATTTTTAACAAATTTATAATTTAGCGTATTAATAATTATACAATTATTTTCTCTTGATATAATTGTTTTTTTTTCACAATCTCTTCTGTTGGTCGTGATTGACAAATAAACGTTATCTTTAGTGAGATAACGTTTGTGTTTTGTAGATAAATTTTTACAAAACAATTATCAGAAGGTCGTATCTTTTCCGTCGCTCGGCGCGTAAATGCAACACGACTGACCCACTGCTCCAACGATTCTGTCTGACATTTCGTAACCGTCACCACACTGTCATATATTTAGCGTTACGTTACGCGTAGCCACCGCGGGAGAACGACACAGCTGTGGGCTTTATTAGTGCCGTTCATGCATTACGGCTCAGCTGATTGTCAGCTGCTGTCCGTAATCGTATTCGCTATGGGTCTGTCAATGATGTTTCCTTGTACAAATAAAACAATGTTGTTCCGTTCTTCCTGTAGATGATCATTCAAATTCCTCCGATAAGAATCAATCTTATAATTCAGTGCAGTTTTTTTTCTGTATTTTTTGATACATAAAATAATGATTTTTAAATCATTAAAGATTTTTTTTATAACATTATGAAATGATTTTTACTTCAGATTTTTTTCTGATTTGCCAACTTTTCTTTCCGATCCAACAAATATAACATTGCTCCGTATTTCTCAATATTCGAACTTCGTATTCAACATTTTCAACGGTTGTAACAATGTATGTATACATTGAAACACACACATGTGTGTGTGTATCTTACAAATCGAAACATATCCGCAGGCAGCGTGAAATTACACAAACGTAGAGAGCGAATCTCGAGGTTTTACAATTTTTGTTTCTACTTATAGTTTCCGTAAATCATAAAAAAACAAAAAATCGCATAAAAACCATCCGCTCGCGCAATGTTCGCTGTGTTGTGTCTGTTGTATAAATATATAAAGAGTTGCGTCATTCTTCTTAAATTATATTTAAAAAAAAATAATTTTCCATTGTACAAGAATGTTTTATATTGTAAACAATTTGTTTATATTGAAAATTTTCGTTTATTAAGAAAAGAAAAAAACTCGATTCGAGACAGTGTCGATATTGCGCGCGCGTTTCTTTGGAATAAAAGTTGTTTCACGACACAATTCTCGGATATGGAAACGTGTCTAAACGACGATCGAGGCGGACTTTCGCGAACTCCCGGTATCGCTGTGTCGATAGAGCCCCAACGCGCCTCTGTCACGACACTCGATGTAACGCGCGGTGCAATGCACGGGGCTGTGTGCCTAGGCTTCTTGCTCGCGCGGAGCGGAGAAAGTTAATTTCGCATGGCCGTTGAACCGATATCGCCGCTATTACGTAGAAGAAGTGGAGAGCACAAGGCGCGCAGAGGCGGCTTCGGCCAATTTACTACTTCTAGTAGGCCAGTCCGCGTGTCTTATTCGCGCGATCGTTCCGACCACCTCTGCTCGACCGCATTCGATCAACGATGCCACTGTTGTATACATGGGAGCCGTGGGATCGAAACTAGCGCATCCCGAATTAACTCTTACGTTGTACACGGAGCTTATTCGCATCCCGTCGGTTTTGTTTTGTCGCTTCAGCATTTTTGACGAGTCTCAATCTAGCGAGTTATTTCAATTTTCGACGACGAAGCAAATTTCATTTTTAATCCTTCGTAAGACCGACTTCCCAAAATAGTCCACTAGTTGAACTGATTGTGAGACTTGCGCGATTTTAAAATCAAATCACATCTCCGCGAAAAATCAACATTTTTTCAATTTTGTTTTTTGAACGAAAAAGTTTGAACGATTCTGCGTCGATAAAAAAACAAATTGAAAAAATATCTAATAGTTTTGAAGATGTAATAGATTGTACATGTAAACATGGTTTTTGTAATTGTACATGCAAATATTTTTTCTCCAGCGATCGCGCAAGATGCGTGAAATATACAATTGTTTTTTTTTCTTTAAAGAAAAAGAACTGAAAGTTGAGTAATCGTCTATTCGTGTTGCATTATCATTTACGACCCATGAATATTTATGGGTCATAAAATTTGCATCGGACTCTATATATGTCTGAGGATTGTTATATACAATAGATTGCACGGGCAAGCGTAAATTAGTAGGACGCTTCGAAATGTCCATCGCGCTGCAACAACAATAAATGATTTTCTTATGTAAACGCGAGCACAATTTGGCGCGCATCCAGCAAAAGCGAACGACTTTTTACGTGTTACATGTGTGTTTCTTCGCGAATCATGACGTAACACATTCTTTTGTTTAACACGCTAACTCGCAATCCCGTATCTATCCGATCTCGACGTGATCTCTGATATTACGTGAATTTTGTTAGATCCGAAACTTTTTTTTTTTGAAGGTACGCAACAAACATTTGTAAAAATAGAAAGCACGTACTTTTTTTTTTCTATCAATGAACAAGAAGTTCACGAGATGTCTCGCGCAAAGTATGTTAAAATATTCATCTATTATACTTTGGCGAATGTACAAGCATTTTCTTTATGATTATGTTCAATAATAATGAGAGTGGCACACATTTAGCGTATTGCTTTGTGTGTGATGGAAGGTTGGTTGAATGACGATCGTCATGCATAGTGAAGACGCGTCGAATGACTGAGTGGCCGTATATAGCGCGTGTAGAAAGACACTGATCATTGATTGAAGATGTGGTAATCCGACCGCGTTATTAATAATTGTGTCGCGTAATGAATCGGAAAGCTCGTCTAAACAACCACACGTTACGAATTTATACCTAGTCGCAGTCTCGAGACATCGCACATCACGTGGAAAGTTATTCGCTCAAAATTTTTTTCCTATCTCTGATTATATCGAACTTCTGAACATTCATGTGCGAGAATGAAAATCGCTATTGATAATATAATAATAATAATAATAATAATAAAATGATCGCTCGCACTGTTCATATTTTGTCGCGCATCAGCAATTTCTCATCTGTCAAAAGAAAGGCTCGGGATCGTCCCGAGTTCTATATACGTCGATCGCGTGGGCGAGCCGAGCGCGCGATCACGAAGAATCGTTTTGTCGACTATAAAGAACCGTGGTACCGGTTTTCTCAGTCGCTGCGCAAAAAAAGACAATGGCACGACCTTAACGGATATGGTGAGACCAGATTCTACATGTCTCGAGGATGACCGGATCGAAGGTTTTTTCTTCTCTCTTTCTTTTCTATTTTGTTGCGGCGGCGGCGTCGCGCTCTGTACGGATTTGAGTTTTCTACTTTAAATAATTATTTGGAATTTCTGGAAAATAATTAAAAATCGGAATTCTTTTACACATATAATCGCTACTACACGTAAATTTAAATTTAAATTTATTTAAACTTAATAAATGAATAAATAAGTCTTAAGGAGCCGTTTCGCAGGATGTTGTGCGGAAAATATGTCTTATATGTGTGTACACATATATAAGTAAATTCACGTTTTCACGTGTGTTTTTCGAATTGAAATTTCAATTCTTAAATTCATATAGGATGCTAGTTTTGCATCTCATATATGATAGACCCCGAATACCCTCCCTAATTAAATTTATTTTTTAAATTTATTTATTTATTTATATATCTATTCGAAAAGATACATTAAATGTCTTTATGTTACCGTCCACATCTATTTGGTAATCATTTTCTAATTATTTGGCTTGGTTGCGTGCTCTCTAAGAAAAATTTTTTCCGCAATCTTGCAGAATGCTGTAAAAATGCCGTCATTGCTGGAAGCGCTGGAGTTGAAATACGGCAGTTCGACGACGGACTGTTCGTTGACGGACGACGAAGCGGAGTCCGGCTCGCCCAAGGCCGCCCTGTCGGTGAGCATCTTCATCCCTAAAAAGTCCCCCCGACACACGGTCCCGGCGTTACTGGTGCTTCAGGACTGCGACATAGAGTGCGCGGGCAATGACGCCGAGAAACTTCGTAGCAAGTGCAAGAACGTCGAGGAACTCGACTTGGCGCAGAATAAATTGTCACGATGGACGGAGGTCTTCGGCATACTGCAGCACATGCCCAAGATCAAGTTCGTAAATTTGAGCTTCAACTGCCTCGCCGAGGTGCTTGAGGTCAAACACGGCAACTACGATCTCCTGAGAAATCTCGTGCTGAATGGCACCAGAGTGTCGTGGTCGACGGTGCAGGGACTAGTACGGCTTTTGCGTAATCTGGAGGAGCTACACCTGTCATTGAACGAGTACAAAACTGTAGACCTGGATTATCAGAAGCCGGAGAACGTAAATCCGGCGCTGAAGAAGTTACACTTCACCGGTAATCCGGTAGAAGTTTGGAACGAGATCTCAAAGTTAGGGTGAGCAAGTCGCATAATGTTTGTCAACATCGATAGGCCAGAGAACGATCACAAAAACAAAGTTCTCGCACGCGCAGATGCAATAATTTTTTTAATAAAAATTGTATTTCTGCAAATAGACTTGACAAAGACTTGATAAATATTTGAAAAATGTAGCAAAAATATATATATATAAAAAATGGAGTATTTTTTCTCATAGAACATTGCGTGTTCTTTTAGGTATGTGTTTCCAAACTTGAAGAGTCTGGTTCTCGCCGAGTGTCCGATCAGATCGCTCGCTCTGGAAGAAAATCGAAATTTGCCGAACGAGGACGGCCTCCGAGCGAATGAGGAGGATAACGGGCAGGACAGCGAAAACATGAATCATTTGGACGCGGATGAACACACGTCGGACGAGAAGGGCAATCGGATATTCGAGAACAAAGTCAACTACGACAGATCCGAATCGGAGTCGGAATCCAGCGGAAAGACCATGAAATCGCCTCACGATCCTTTCAGAATGTTAAGGTTCTTGAACGTGAACGGCACGCTCTTATCGACCTGGGACGAAGTCGAAAGACTGGCCAGGTTTCCGGCGCTTAAATCGCTCAGGATTCAGAGTTGCCCGCTTTTTGAGGTGAGTGATTTTTCCTAGTTGAACGATTGAAAAATGGAAAGTTAGACTCAATTATACGTTCGCGGTTAGGAAATATTTTGATTAGCGTAACTTGATTTCATATCACGCTTGTGAATCGATTGAAGATAGTTAGATAAAGAGAGAGAGACAGGAACCGATACCGATTTCACCTGCACAATTCAATATTTTTACCTTTTCCACCTATATAATTTAGAACGCAATATCTCTTTTCGCTTGTGGAAAGTAAAACGTTTATATGCGCTGCGAAATATGGAAGCGCGTGCGGAAATCGTACAGTTGGTAGGTTTATTATTTTTCATCTTCTCGAACGCGCGTCAAAGTCTCTCTCGAGCGACGACAGACGAAATTAGAGAGACACGTGCTTGATCCCCGCAAAATCAGATGCAACGGCCACGTTGCACACCGGTAACGTGAGAAATAACGTGTGTCTTCGCTATTAGTGGGTAAGGTTTCCCTGAGAGATTTCTCCGCGCGTGCAACTCCGCGGCAATTGAATCTTGGCACGTGATCAAATAGGCTTTATAGATTTAATGTAATGTGAGTTTCAAAAACAGCTTCTCTTGAAATCAATATGCCGCGCAGGACCATGCCGCACTTCCAAGAGAGAGGAGATCTGGTGTGCTGCGTGAATTTGATATTAAAATAGAACGTGCGCGCGAGAATATTTCGCTCTTTGTGCGTAAAAGGAGCAGCGCTTTTGCGACTTTACGCGCGAGAATATCGGAATTAAACAAATCGGAGCGCGCGACAACGATGCTAATTCAAATCGCGCGCAAAACGTGATTCAATAAGAACCTAGAGTTCTGTAACGGTATATCATATATTTTCTATTCTGCAAATTATCAGTAAATTGCAATTGCAAAATACGCGTGTTGATTCGATGTTTTTTGACATATTTTTTTTTACTGATTTTTTAACCTTTAGACCGCCGCCATTTTTTTAATTAAAAACATGGTATTTTTTCCGTCATATTTGTATATAACTTGAATTATTTTATTGCGTGGAGTGCCTTAAGTTTCATCCGGCTCCGATCGACGCGGGGAGGTTGGCGGGGAACGGAAGTGAAAAGTTTTATAAAATTTTCAAATTTTGAAAAATGAAAAAGTGTTTCTAAAGATTTTTTTCATATCGCTGGTTACGTTTTTGAAGTCGAATCGCAAAAGTCTTTCGATAAAAAATTTCATTAGCATTATTACCAAGCTAATCATGTTTAAATAAATTTTGTATCTCAGATTACGGCGAATTCGAAAGCTAAACTACGTTATTCAACAACGTATTTAGATTTTCTAAATAATTTTTCACACGTATCAAGTCAGATGAAAGAGAACTCTTTGCTAAAATACGGTACAATATTAGCGTATCCCCCAATAGCGATGGCCATACGGCGGTCCAAAAGTTAAACTCTACATTCGACGATTCGTAGTTGAGAACAAAAAAATCATAAAAATAATATTTTCAAAAAATCTAAATTGTGTTATATCATAAATAAGAGATCGAAAATTGTGTTCGAAGTTTCTGTGCCGCGCGCACTTCATATATTTTAACATTTCCCAGAGCCCCCGAGAATACACGGAGCACGAGAGGCGGCAGCTACTAATAGCCCGACTGCCAAACGTCGAAACTTTGAACGGCGGCGGCGTGATATCGTCACAGGAACGCGAGGACGCCGAGAGAGCCTTCATACGTTATTACATGGACAAACCAGAAGCGGATCGACCCGAGAGGTGAGCTTTTCCGAGTTCCAAATCTGTTGTTTTTTCCTTGAAAAATTCAGAAGGCGAGATTCAAAATTGCAAATACACGCGTATTTAACGCGAGTCGCCTTTAACGTTAAATTCTCTTTATTTCTCCGCAACACGCGTAAATTGGCCTCATTACAGCGTTCCAACTTTGCTCGAATCCTCTATTAAGACTATTCTTGTTTCACGGCCGCGCTCGCGCTTCCCTTCCGGCCCAACTTGACCCTCTTCTTCGATTTTCAGGTATTCCGAGCTCGTGGCTATTCACGGAAAGTTGGACCCCTTGGTAAACGTAGATTTGACACCGGAGAAAAGGGTCAAGGTCACGTTCACTTACGGAGATCTCGTTGAGGTATATAACTTCGTATTAAGTTTAACTCCCCGTTTCTCTCTCTTTCTCTTTTTCTTCCAAACAGGTTTTATCAAGAAATGAACTTTTTTTTGCCAGTTATTATACTCTTTCCGAATATAGCTCGGGAAGTATACCCCGAATATTTTTAACTTTGAACTCTTTAACACGTATACATATTACATAAAAACGAAAACTGACTCGTGAACTTTTAAAAAAATAGTTTTAAATGTGAGAATTTTTTTTTTAATACAATTTTACACTTGCAGGTACGATCGGTAGATGTATATAGAACGGTTTTCGAATTGAAAACTAAATTGGAAAGCATGGTGAAAATACCTGCCAACAGAATGAGACTTTTCTACGTTGATCAGGTAAATTTTATTTATTTTTGTTCTTTAGTTAAACGATTTTAATTTTGTTTTTACAGAACGTTCGGTTTTTTAATCGATCTTTCAAAAATCCTGAAGTTGCAATTTAAACCGTATCCTTTGTAAACCGATCCTTTTATCCTGACACCATCGTCCAAAAATTCAAAATTTCCTGACCTTCACAATATAATGAGTACAAAAGTAATTTTTATATCTGTGAGATTATTGTGCGATTTTTATTAAAATTCTGATCCGCCTCTCAAATCGCAATTTTGAGAAGAGATGCAAAATCAATTTTCAGGAAATGAAAGCGCAATACGGCCCGGAGGAAATGTTGTATCCGAACAAGCAACTTTATCGATACAATATTCGAAATGGCGACGAGATTATTATCGACAGCAAACTGAACAGATTTGCGTCAACGTCCTCGGCTACATCTTCCATTCGTTCCTGAAGTAAATTAACAAGTGAATCGATTGAAGAAATCCGATAAATCTTTGATCTCCACTTATCGCTTCACGCGCTGTGACTGTCACTGGTGAATTAATGTAACGATTCTCTGTCCTAGATCGATAAACATCGCCCATGAAGAATAAAATAAAAGAATTAGAAGAATTTATATAGGAACTTGCTGATGTTCGATGTGTTATGTATTATTATGACGGCAAACGCATTTCAGAGAATAATAATGGATGGAAAAAAATTTTACAAATTGACGATAACTCGGTAATCTATAGAGGGAGATGAAAAGTTTAGAATGTGTTTCTTCGCAAAACGGTAATGTCGAAGATGACCTTTCGAAAAATTGTCGCGAATTATAGCGCGATTATATTACACAATTGTATTTTGATCGCAAAGTAACGTCGTCCGATGCCGTTGTAGTTTAATTATTTCTCTTTGCTAACAAACACTCATTCGAGAAGAGCCTCGACGTATAATTTAAAATAAACAAGCTAAACTAACAAGCCTTTGAGAGCGCATAGAAAATAATTTGTGTGTCGAATGACACAAACGAGAGTGTACGCGCGTACACGTTACGCTCTTTTAGATGAGTAGGTGAAATCCGTCAATTTATATAAAGTTTTCTTTTTGATGTAGTATCTCTCGTCTATCTTAGGAGGCAAAATGTAATGGGAAAGCAGGACATGTACATAGCGAAATTCTTCGATCTTCAGCCAAATTCGATATATATATATACATACATTACATGTATATGTATATGTAGCTACAGTACGAAAGTGTGAGGAGAGATTATCTTATTTATCGATGCTCGATGAGAATGATATAGGAAACTCGTAGGAAGAGAGAAAGAGAGACAAACATTCGACTCGTGTAAAATTGTGAGCTCACACAATTCTTGATAATATAATGCCAACGCCGACTGTGACAAGAAAACGCGAGATGAAAAGAGATTGAAATATTTTTGTAGACCGCGGGGGCAGTTACCTGGAAAAGGTAAGATTCGCCATTCGTTCGTGACAGAAACACGCGTTTTGTTGCTCTTTGTTGAGCACCGGGCAATGATAAAAGTAAGTGTAAACGCACTTGCAACACACGTTTTCCGTCGTGCGCACGTTTGAAACTTTTTATTATATAAAGTGAAACATCGCGCGAATTTTCCAAGTGCTTAAAAAGAATAGAACATGATCATCGCTACGATTCGTAAATATTATTGTTTGTTGCTTATGTTGTCATCGCAACGGACGATCTCTGTAAATTTTTCTCTCCAAAGGTGATGTGTGAACTCTTTTTCCATGTAAATTAAAATCACACGAGCGAAATTAAAACGCACAAAAACGCGCGTGAATTAAATTTTAAACTATATTTAATTTAAAACTATACAAGTTAATACTGCGTTACCCTATCGTCAATTCTCAGTGTGTGGTATGTACTTAAATTCAATATCTTCAATCAAATACCAAGCTCGTTGTCATCTGCGAATGATTTTTAATATTCCAAGATATTGAATTGTGTGTCGGTGTTGAATAACATAAAATTTGCAATTATTTTTGTCACAGAGTGAACAAACGGAGATCCAAATTTATTATCAACAGTGATATAGAGGATAAAGGTGCCTGTTAATGAGATAATCGTCTAATACGAGATAGCAAATTATTTTCACGTAAACGGCTACAAATTCATAACTGCGTATTTTTAACACGTCACTTACACAAAAATCAAACTTTTTGTTAGCGTCGCTCAATGCCGAAGGTGATGTGGTGTCTGCAAAAGAGTTATCGCGTACGCTCAGAACAAAAAAAAAATAATCATTATAATTTTAAAATATATATTTAACACTTTCATTTCAACTCACTTAAATGTACACATGCGCTATAAGTGATTTATCATGTAGTTTTTTGTGAGTTTATTGCATACTTTGTCGGTATAAACTTGAACTTTTTGCAATTTTATATTCCCTAATATGAGACACGCTCTTAATACGAGGTACTTTATATTAGCTACTGTCAAGTGTTCTTTATTTGATGTATTAGTAAGTTTTTTGTAATCAAATTTTCAGACGGAAGCGAAGAAGAGGCAATCGTGATCTCACAGTCAATTAGAGGCTGTTAAGGCAGTAAGAAGCACAAAGAAATGAGATATTCAAAAGCGTCTAAACAATTCAATGTCCCAAAGCATATTATTGAGCGACATATTAAGAACGACGATAGTTCTGTTGTTGCTAAAATTCCTATAGGAAAAAGAAACCTCTTGTGTCTCATATTAGGAATCCTTTTTTTAAATCAACAAAATTGGCACTTTTGAAAAAAAAATTCACATAAAACAAAGTTATGGTTATTATCGATTGCTAACTTTTGAGGCGATAAAACTTGAATATATTTCCCATAAGTTTGACATAAAACTAAGAGTTAAGATTACATAAGTAATAATGTGTGTAAGCAGCTTCGAGATTTTTAAAAAAATATATAAAGACGTTGATAATGACTGAAGCAAACACGGATGCTGATGTGTATATTCGTTGAATTAATTTATTGAAAACAATGTATAAAACGTTTTCGACCTCTGGATTAGGTCTTTTTCAATATAATTCTACAAAACAATTATATTATTGTTACAATTATATAATTGTTTTATAGAATTATATTGAAAAAGACCTAATCCAGAGGTCAAAAACGTTTTATACATTGTTTTCAATAAATTAATTCAACCAATATACACATCAGCATCCGTGTTTGCTTCAAACAGCCATTATCAACGTCTTTATATATTTTTTAAGATTACATATTTAATAAATTACGAGAAAAGAAGATATCCTTTAAAAAGAAGATATCTCATAATAGGCACTTTTTACTCTATATACTATCTTGTCACGACTAGAAGACCTCACAATATTCTTATAAAAACGTGTTTTCCTGCGGCTAACTTTTGAATATATTGTAGTTCTCGTCATTCTAAAAAAATTTCTCAATGGACACAAACTTGATTTTATGAGCCGTTTCCGCACTACAAGCCGCTAGAGAGGATCCAATGATTTAATATGTAAAAGGTATAGAGGTTTTTCGACTCGGTGACCCTCGAACGTGCGTGCGCGTACGTTTGCGCGTGCACGTGTGTATGTGCGTGTGCTTAAAACCCTACGCGCAATTCTACATACACACACACACACATACACTTGCGCGCACACATTCGAGGATCACATATATCGAATCGAAAAGCCTATACTTTATTCTGAGTTGTCTTTTTTCGTGCTACAAGCCTTAGAAGATCCAATGGTTCGGGCCAACACGAATGATTTAACGTTGGGTCTTCTAGGGTTTATAACACGGAAACGGTTCACAATCAAGTTGTGTCCGTTGAGACATTTTTTCAGAATGACGCGAGACTGACTACAAACATATCTAAAAATTAGCCAAATCCGCGGAAAGACACTTTCTCATAAAAATAATGCGCGATCCTTTCATTAAATTGCAAATGTGATGAACAAAAGTGTATTAATTGCGTTCATATAGATGAGTGTGAATTATATATGTATATATATATATGTGACACAACATAATAATATCGCGAGTCTCAACTTTTTTCTTTGAATGCTACTACACGTCTCATTGCATTTACAATTTATCTCGATTTGAGGCACGAACGAGCTTTTCCAAAAAGAACGTTATGTTACGCGTCGCTTTCTTCAAATCCATTGGCATTGTTTTATGTGTTCCGAAAACAAAAAAAAAACCGTTAGAAAAAGAAAATGAAAGATTTGTTAAATTTCGGTTTTTCTTTATACTCCCAAGCAACGAAGCTTGAAGAATCACTTAGTGCCTGCCTTTTACGTACTAGTATAATTCATATATACTTCTAACACTGCCCTGTGTGAATACCATAAAAGCGTGATTCAGGATGTCATGCGTTCCGCATGTAACGAGAAGCACCGACCAAAAACTCACAGCAGTACGGATGTGTTAAATCTCATATCAGTAAATAATATTTTTTTCATCATTACAATAAAAAAAAAAAAAAAATATTTTTCAAAACAGCTAAGCTTTTGTATTATTTTATTATTATTTATACAGTGCCGATAAATTGTTTACTAAAATTTTTTTCTCAATTATTTTGACTCACACTTGACATATGTACAAGTGTCTTTTGCAATGCTGGTGCACAATGTTATGTTGCTGCTGAAGAAATTTGGCCTGGACGTTTCTCGCGAAGATTCAAACGAGCACCGCGATAATAAATCAGAACGTTGTTGAATGATTGTCGGATTCCATTGCTTCTCCGCTTCATCGGCGCAACGCATTTCGTACGTTTAAGATTGCGGATTTGATGTAAACCATCGGAAAGCGAAAACAAACATCAATCAAATGTAATGTAAAAAAGAGGACAAGAACGAACTGTGGCGTTGGAATCCCACTTTGCATGTGTCTAGTCCCGAAAAAGGAAACTCTGCATTATTCTCATTTTATATAATAAAATCCTTTTTTTGTGCTGGCGCAAATGTATGTACTAACGAAATAAATCGTTTATATACATATATATATATATGTATATAAGATAATTATTTTCTTCAATTTTCCTTCTCAGATGTTTATTTTTCAATACTCAGATTAATTATATAAGATCTAAGTAACAATTATTTTGCAAATCATTTTCTTTTTTTTTTGTTTAAATCAACACATCACATCAAGGGACAGTAATTACATTACATTCACAATTATCATCATTTAGCTTTATAGTTTTATTATTTAGCTTTGATATTTCTCGGAACAAGATGTGTGTTTTGGAATTTAAAACCTATACGAGAGACGATTGATAAGTATTCGAAACGACGCATAGAAAACAAGGTAGTGTCACATTGCTGTTGACAAGTTTCATCATCTCAGAAGAAGATAGAATGTATAAATATAGAGAATTAACACAAATGTAGACACCTAATAACAAGATTAAGCGGACGTAGAGACGCAAATGACTAATCATTTTTGTTTATTCCTTTATACTCTTCCACACACAAATTCGCTTTTTCTTCTCGTAGGCTAGCTCACCAGAGTCTTTCGCAGCTCCGTGCTCGTCGCTTTTAAACATCACTACAGACACCGTCGACGATGATGACGAGGAAGAAACCGCCGATGATAATACATGTCACCGTTCTATGCCGTCGTTACAAATACTTATCACTCGTGTATATAACACACGCAACAGTATAAAAACAAGCACGTTAAAAATATAAAATTTACGTGTTGTAACAAACTCGAAACAAACGGATATCGTTGAAAGTAGATCTATCTGGATAAGGAAGGGACGGCAGTAATGTACAATACACGAACGAATTTTATTCACAACCTTATCTCAAACTAACCGATCATAATTTTACACTTTTTTAAACGCTACACGCTGATCTATCACAATGGATTCTCGGTCTTCTTTCTTTCCTTTCGGAAATGTGTATAGAAATATATATAGATAAATGCTAAAGAGCTACTTAAAAATTAATCGCATCTCGTTGGCGCCGGTGCCAGGGTTTTCCTTTTTTTTTTTTTGCGCATCTATACATAAAATGTCACAACGGTACGTATATATGTACATAGGTACAAGCTCTAGATTCACAATGGAAAACATGAATGAACAGTTCTGCTGGATATGTCGTAAAGGCATAAAGCTAAGATCTACGTATGATTTGGTCCGATCTTCCGTAAATCCGGTGTTCGAAAAAATATTCAAGCTATCCGATTAAGATTAAGCAATTCTCAGTATATGGCGGAAATTAATCGTTATTTAATTGTAATTCCAAAAAGTGAGACACTATAGAAGACACATCAGTGTTCAATCCATAGATAAAAGATATCATCGATAAGTACAATTGTACAATTCGCGTTGTTGGAAGTATATTTTTTTTTTTTTTTTATGTGATTTTATTTCTATAAATACTCTTAAAATACTTCTTATCTCAATAAATCTCCTTATTAAATTATTCCTTCTCTTTATAATTTAGCGAAAACTCTCTAGCTATAATATAGTCTTATTTGTACTTACTTTTCTAAAGATTAGAAGTGTTATTATTATTACATTTTCTTTTTCAATTAATTTAATATAATAAAGTACATCAAGTTTTTTGTGTTATTTATTATTGCACTATATCGTTAATGGAAATATTCGAAGATAATTGCGTCACTTCCAAAGTCAAAGTGACTTTGCCAACGTTGCATACGTCGTAGAAAAATATAGGGATGTTGGAAGTGACGTCAAATCAACATTTGAGGAACGACACGCTTTCAAGATGATATATACGTAATTTTGATCTACAATTCTCTATAGTCGTACAATGGTAACGTTCAAAGGTAGTTACGTTCGGCGCAGGCCATTTGAGACTGATGAATGACGCTGTTGCGTATGTTTGTCGTCTCCGATTATGCGCAGAGCAACAAAACTTCTCAACGCGAACTAACTAAAATACGGATATCTCGAATGTGTAAGTACTATTGCTCAAGCAGTGAGATTTGCTCGTGCGCTTCACCATCGGAAATACTGAACGTCTCAATTCTCTTTCCGGGATGTGTTATCTTTTTTTGTCATAGCTTCGTATGCTTCACACTGTCCGTCCAATAATTCTGTATTGTCATTGCCTCTAGCGAATTTAAAAACGAATCATTATCCAAACTGTACATCTCTTCCGAATTATCCTGTAAAAAGTAAACAAAAATTTTTTACATTAATATTATTAATATTATGCTAAACACCCATCGTGTTATAATATACACTTACTGTGCGAGAGATAATTTAATTATTTTTACAAATATAGTGTAATGTGATACTAACGCGAATAGTGGAATCATCGATGTAACCGGAGCTATCGGGATTGCTGCATTTGTCACTGTTCAACGTTTGTGGAGGGTTCAAGTACTTGCGCCTGAAAAAAAAAAAAAAAAAAAAAAAAAAAAAAAAATAGAGTTGACGAATGAACGCGTTAGCGAGCGCACGGAAACCTCTTGTTTGGAAGATGTAATTAAAAAAGCATCACGAGTTCATTACCTGTATATAATGAATCCGAGACTACCCATTGTGCTGAGTAGAGCTACGGTCGCTAAACAGCTGCCTGTAATTGCGGCTATACCCGCCGCGGATGTCGCCGAACTTTGTTCTACGTTTTCGCTGTTATTAGTAGCGTCAACGTAATCAGAAGGTCGATTCTCTTCCTGTACTTGATCCCTCTTGAAGTTCTGCGTGATGAAAGTATTCCTCGCTCTGCTCAGGCGGGTGGATTCGCTCACGCCAACTGCACATTTGTTTCGCGTCATTATGAAGAATTTAAAACAATAACTCTCTTTTGCGTTTTTGCTGTCGAGTGCTAACATAAGCTACAAAATCTAAACCGCTATTCTTCATTTCATTACCAACTGAATAATATTGAGAACAGTTTAATACTTTAAGTCAAATATTTTCAGTTTAACTCAAGTAAACTGGAGCAAAATTAACACAAGCAAATATAAAAGAAAGAAAGTCACACAATATTGTAAAAATTTAATTAAAATACAATGTAAATTTTGTATGAAATACTGTGTGGCTTATGATTAAATATACGCGAGGTTACTGTTACTTATCATGCGTCATGCACGATGCATCTCGAATTTTACCTTCGAGGATAGACGCCGCCGTGGCGAAGTGCTGCGTCTGAGCCACTTCCTCGTCGATCTCGATATCGTCCTCCGACTGATTGAACGTCCTGATCGCGGCGTTACTAGCACCAGCCGCGGACAAGGACGTTATAAACGTAGACCTCGTCCTGTTCAGCATCAAATCGGTCTTGGACATTTCTTCCTGAAGAGGTAGAACGGTGAGATCCTCAACTTCGTCGAAGCTGATGTTCCTGTTGGGAACGTTAGAGACCGACTGATTTCTTTCCTCCTGATCGTATTTCGACCTGATTGAAGACTTGTTTGTCGTCAATATCCACGTGATCTTGCTGTCCTTCTTCGGAGTCGAGCTTCTGATTCGCTCGACGTTCTCCGTGGCGCGCTGCGGCGTTGTCGCGCCGAGCGGCTCGACGCTGGAGACGTTCCCGCGGAAGCTTAGCTCGATGGTCTCGTGGATGTTCACCCCGCTGGTACTTCCACGTTCCAACGGCAGTGAAGCAACGGTGGTAACCGGTTGCTGTCTGTCACCTATCACGGCCGTGTTTGTCTGGGGATAAAGACCGATGGCCTTGGCGACGCGAAAACTCGATTTCGGCGACTTCGACGTGCGATAGATATCTTCAGTCTCAAACGACAAGGATGTTACTCTCGGGGACGGCTGATTGACGGGGTCTAACGTGGTAGACGGTAGAGGATTTCCAAGAATCACTGAAAGAATATATGAATGTACGTCTCTTAAATGGACTCGTACATCATATTGGAAAATTGTCTCTTTCCTTTTTCTCAAATTGAGAAGTTAAAATACGCGGATTGTCAAAAAGATTTGTGGAAAAACCTCGTTTACAAAAGTGTGTATAAGATTTTTCTTTCAAAAATTGAACCAGACACTATTTTTGTATATTTTGTACATGTGCACTTTTTCATTTTTTTACAATTTTATTTATTTTCCCAGTAAAACCGTTATATTATAACGGTCTGAAACATTAATTATACTTTTTAATAAAACATATTCACACATAAGTTTCATTTCACGCGACAAATAAAAATCATTTATACATAAGAAAGAATTGAATTGTCTGCTTCTTGCAAATTCGATCGCGCTTGATTGCATAAGGTGACCTAATTAAAGCGCAAAGACGTTGCTCGAGTGTTTTTATTGATCTTTTTTATCAAAGTTAACGGAATGTAGCAAGACAAACGATTGCGTCAATATATTTAAAATGAAACGGGCTTTACGTCACGGGGTAAAAAAAATATCTAATAATAAAATGACTCACCAAGAAATTGTGCGGTAACCCAGAACCAATGCATCCACCAATGTAGCGTCATCGCGTCATCTGGATATATCTGCAAATATCAAATGTCCTCCTATACTGGCGTGTGTAAAATCGTACACGTCTCACACATTCGCACATTCAAACGTGTACATCGAACTGTCAAAGAATTCATACATCAAACTTAACAAAAAACTAACTCATACTAAATCTAACTTTTGGATAAATTTAGATCGAGACAAGTGAACGATCACTTAGTACTGATAGAAGAAAATGTGTAAAAATCTGAGGTGAGTAACGTAATGACGCAGTCGAGTTGTTTAATTCTGAAATCCGTGAGTCATAGTGGCGAGAGGAAGTTTAAGAGCGACTCACTCGGCTTTCCAGGTATGTAGCAATTGCAACAGAACCGGGAAACAAATTAAAAACGCGTCGTTATATTTCTTATATTCTCGTCGCTTCGGGGAAACAAAATCATTTCGAAAAGTCAAATGATAATGTTGACGTGTAATTTGTATAAATTTCGAGTTTTCAGACTTAATCCATTTTTGATTCACGATGGGTTCTATGCTTGATCATCTCGATCGCGACACAACGCTGTTAAATCGTGGTGCGATGCGAACCGCAATTTTCGTGTTTCGAGTAACGCGAGATTGCAATTATTACGGACCGGTGCTGTCGGACAAGCAGTGCATTGAACGCAGGTGCTCGTAAGCAATATTAAGTGCTTACACGGTCAGCATCTTCGCAACTAAAAACAAATCAACACAACGCGTCCGGCCTGTTTGATATGTCAAGAACGCAAAGATGCGTTTAATGATCTCGCTGTGTGAACAAATCGCGGAGCAAACATAATACTATACAGGGTGTTCCACCTAACTTGAGCATCCTAAATATCTCGCTTATTTTTTATGATAAAAGAATGCCGAAAAAAATCATTATTCAGTTCGTGGAGACAAATATTGTAACAAACAAGACATTTTTCTCAAGGTCATATGTTTTAGGATTTCAAGGTCATTGTCAGTTTTTTTTTAATCTGAAAGTACATATTTTTATTCTCACGATACGATAGGCAAAGTCAAGACGAATCCAAAAAGTTCTTTAATTCTTTTTTTTGTTTATTACAGTATTTGTCTCCTCGAACTGAATAATGACTCTTTTCGACATCCTCCAATCATAAAAAATAACCGAGATATTTAGGATGCTCAAGTTAAACTTTGGGCCGCCGCAAAAATCCTTTTTGGGGCTTTGATATTTCTATATTTCTAAAGTGTGTTCAATTGATCGTACAAAAATACCAATTAATATATATATACGTAGTAAATATACAGTAAGTGTATTCGCTTTTGTATATATGTACACGGAAAAAAAAAGTTTTGCTATTACATGGTCAGCAAGAAAAAATGGTTGACCCTACGAAATTTTTTGTTTCATCAACAAAATGTTTTGTTGGCAAAACAAAAATTTTACTAAACTTAACAAATGTTTTTTTGCTGGCCATATAGTAACTAATTTCTTGCTATTCTAGCAAATCTGTTTTTTCCATGTATATGTAGACGCGTGTGTTTATTTATATTTGTCAAATACCAATTACAGTATTATTTTTTAGTTAATCATAGATTCATTTGAAAAATACTTATTACACATATACACATACACACGTATGCACGCAAGCACGCAGATGAGAGTCAAATACTGTGCGCGATTCTACCATACGAATTTCGTACCAGGAGAATACAAGTTATAGGATATGTGAAATATAAAAGAAATAAAAATACTATATAAATAATGCGCAAAAATGACAAAATTGTTCATTTTACGCTATTTTTCAATAGAAGTCTGTACATTTATACTCGGTCATATCGTCAGTTATTACTCATAAGTTCAAAATTTTACAGATTTACACTCAAAATTAGTAACCAGGAACTAAAATGTGGTAATTTTCAGAAAAAAAATTTTTTCCACACGTGACCTCCGTTTCCCGCCGCAATAGTCCCTTTTGGGTTTTCATACGAACCTCGAGATTCCACATAACGTGCATGTTATTGATATACGCGAATTAAAAAAAAAAATACACTATTTTAATGAAAAAATGCCGGCGGTCTGAAGGTTAAGTGGGACACCTTGTATGTAAAAACAATATTACGTAGTTTAGATAAGATCGAATTTTTGATCAACAGATATTATTTTGTTCGAGAGCATGTCGCACGAAAAATCGCGTGGAAGACAAATATTTAAAAAAATACCGGATTTTTTTTTCTAAATCCTTCGATCTCAATATCGTTTTACAAAAAATATAAGAAAATCTTTCTCTCGGTAAAATTATGCATAGAGAAAAATATGTTTAAGAACGTATGTGTTCAAATCGGAAAGAGAGAAAACTGTAAAAATTAAAGTAATATAAAAGTAATATAAAAAGTAATATAAAGTAATATAAACAAACATATTCGCAATATACGTTCACTTACGCGCGCCAACGCACGAGGACATGCGTGCGCGCGCGTGACGGAAAGATGCGATACTTTGAACAGCAGGATATAGTGCGACGGTCACGCTCCGTTGACTTGCAACCAGTTGCAATTCGCGACGTGACGTGAATAGTACACGATAGAGTTACTTAAAGATCGTCAGTCGTAATTTTCCAATTTTATTGCCGGAGAAAGAGCGACTTGTACGAATCAACGTGTATGCATTATGCACATATTGTACATACGAAGATAAGGTGTAAAATTGTTTTCGTTGAAAAAAACTGTAGAAGTCAAAAATTTTCTATTTCGAAATCGACTTTATAGCCAATGGCTACTACATCCAAATCTCTTTCTAGTTTTCACAAACTTCCGCAATTTGAGATTTTAACGTAGCTCTTAGCGTGAAAAAAAAATCTGCTATCACACAGAAATAACACCATGCCGATGTTTGCTGCCGAGCAAACAAGCATTCTCGGACAAAGTGATTACGGAAAATTAAGGAGCATATGAGACACGCTCTTCTCCATGTACAGTTAGTCGAGCGGTCATGCTCTCCCGGCTGTAACCGGTCGCACCTTTGCGCGGATACGGCTCGGTGGTGCGTCGAGCAAGAAAAGAAAGGACACAAAGAGAGGGACACCCGAAGGATGTCGCAAATTTCCCACTCGCTAAATTCAAAACTTAATAAAGACAACGGAACAAAAGGCGCGTGCGCGCGCGCGCGGACCGGACCGCTCCTCTTTTCTAAATGACAAAGGTTTCACCTTGTTGCACGGTGTAACCCTCTTGTGTCGGTGTGACTTCATTCATTGACCGGAAACGGGTTGCGCGCGTGACCTTGCGCGAAACATCGCGTGGCGTAACGCGTGCGGAAACGCGTTGACAGAAAAGCAGCTAGAAATTTTTGCACGCGCGCGATACCGAACGTCGTTTGACGTCGCAACAGCTGATTTTCGTATAAATAAGATCATGACGTTCGCGTTGCAAACGTGCCGATGTTTTTTTTTTTTTTTTAAATTCGCGTGGATTAAATCGCCAGATTCTATTCAAAGCCGACGTTTGCACGTTGCGCGAGCAAAGGCGTTACATCGCGTCCCGTTTTGTTTTGAGAATCAAAAGAATATATTCCGCTCGGTCGGCGCTATTGCGCCCGATATTAATCTGTACTCGCGGAGCAACAATTGGAACGTGGCGTGTGCCACGTGTAAATACAATTCCGGTCGGCCCAGGCGCGGTAAAGTATGAAATTGCGCCAGGAGTTTTTTGCGAACGAAAAAAAAAAAAACCCTACTGTGTGCACATCACGCGCGTGTTGCGTAATTTCTGCTTCCGCGTGTTGAGCCTCGCCCTACTTTATTTCTAGACCGAAAGACCCGTCCAATTATAAATGTGCATCCTCTGTTTCTAAATGTTAGCTGATTAACGCTGATTAATTGCGTTAAATATATCTGACATACTAAAGAGTCAAGATGGAGGGAAAACGCAGATCTTACTTTTTTTATAAATAAATTGTTTTTAATAAATAATTTTTTAAATACATTTTTTTGACGAATAACTGACATCTAAAACGTGCTCTCTGTGCGATTATAAAAAATTTATATGTAACGTGTATCATATAAACAGTTGTTTTCGGCAAAAAAGATGTGAAAATCCAACACGGTTTATTATTGTATTTACAAGAATTACATTTAAATGTTGCTGAATTATTATTATTTTTTTTTTTCTACTTTTAATAAACGGTTATTTTGGATTCTCGCGTCTCAATGTTTCGAGGTCTTGATGAATGTTTAATATGTGCCAAAACCGCGTAACTAACTAACTACACACATATATATATATATGCACGCGAAAAACTTCGAAATGAGAACCGACGCAAATGTAAAACCAAAAAAAAAGCGGATTCTGATATCCGACGAATATCCGCGCGCTCGCTCACTTCCTATATACTTCACGTTTCGTTCCACTTGGTTTTTAGATCAGAGAAGTAATTGATTTAATGAATTCTCGTTCCTATATTGGCGCGCGCTGCGCATACAGGTACATGCTCCTCCGTGAAAGCTCGTGAAAAAAATTAGCCGTTTCGCGCGGCAACGCGAAAGTTTAACAACCGCCGTTGTGTATATACGTATATGTACGGGAAGTTCTCCAAATGAAACGTCCAACGTGCGAATTAACAACGCAATTAATCCGTAAAATTTTTAACTTTTTTTTTTTTTGATTTGATACTGGCAATCGCGATCCATCTGCGGTCGCAGTTTCTTACATCCGCGGATCTTGATCATATTTATTTCGCACGTCGCCGAGATATTACGATGCAATTTATTGTCTTATGATATCATGCCATCATCAAGTTACGGCATCGAGTCACGTAACCGTGACAATCAACGTGTTAGATTGCAACCTTTGCACCTTTTCGCAATAATTTGTGGAAACCTTGACTTTGTCATGCTCGCGAAGCGTCAAATGTCATATTTCTTCTCTTTCTGACTGATCAAATGTTTTTGTTTTTGTTTGTTTGTTTTTTTTTTTTTTTTTTTTGTAAAAATAGATCAGCCAGAAACGTTTTAGCACGCCCGAGCTCTTTCGGGTTCGTTGCCTTGAAATT